ATCGGTGGCCATTTGGACGCATTCCGTCTGCGTGAACATCCCCTTGACCTTGTCGTCGAGGCTCATGTGATAGAGTATCTTGACGGCAATGCCGTGATGCTTCTCATCGTTGATGAACATCACCAGCATCGGCAGATAGCCGGCGCCAATCATTTTGCGCCTCAGGCCGCCATCGAAGGAGAGATTGAAGACCAGCTTGAGGGTGACCTGCACCAGGTCCGTGTGCGTGCTCTGGAATAGGCGCGGCAGCTTGGACACAATATTCAGCGAGCACATCTCATCCTTGTTGTCGCCCACAATCGATAGCTTCTTGAGGAATGTGCTGACAAGCATCAGCAGATCAATATTTTGGCGATCCAGCGCCTTCACCAGCATCTTGACAATATGCTTGCGTCGCATCTTCTCCTCCAGCTTGACATTCTCGGCCATATTCAGCAGCAGATAGAAGGCCACACGCAACAGCTGCTCCTGCTTCTTGGCAAAGATCTTCAGCTGTTTGTTCAGGCGATCGATCTCCTCCTTCTTCACCTTTGGATCGTTACGATCCAGCGACTCGTTGCTCTGCGCCTTCAACTCGGCTGGCACAGAGCTGGGCGGGTCTGCTGCCACGCCACCACCACCACCGCCGCCGCCGCCAGCACACAGCGCCTCGTGATAGCTGCTGTTGAGAATTTGACTTTTGATCAGCGACGAGGACATGGAGCCATGAAAGCTGCTCCAGTTGCCCGATTTGGGACGCTGCTTCAGTTCGGGAATGCGTCGACGCGGTGGCTCCATCTGAAAGCACACAAAAATCATGGCAGATTAGGGCAGGGCGATTTACAGGTGGATGAGCAGCCAACCTCCTTGGGCTTCTCCTCATTCATGATGTCCAAGAAATCATCCGTGCTGCGATTTAGCTTCTCCTTGCTGGCCTTTGCCGAATGCGGTGTGGAGGAGCCATTCGGCTGCTTGCGCACATCCAGCTCGTTTCTCATTGTCTCATAGCGTCTCAGCTCATAGTCGATCACATCCATGCACAGCGAGCCAATCTATAAGAAAATTATGTTGCTTTCTTCCGCGTTATCAGTGGTGTGCTGCCCTTACCTTGTACTGCACTATCAGTGGATGGAACTTGGTGTAGGTGGAGAAGCAAAAGAATATATAGATGATGTTCGTCGACAGGTCGAGACTTTTGCGCCAGTCCTCGCGTAGTACACGCGACAAAGCACTAAGGCATGCTTCTGCAAAGAGGAGAGCAAACAGAATAAGCATCAGAATCGGATTTATAAAGTCTGCACAAGTTTGTTCGCCATTCTACCATTTTTTTCCAGCTCCTCTAGGTTATCAGGATTGCGTGCCATTTGCAGTATCATGGCCGAACCGCGAATGCGTTCGCCTAGCTCCTCGTACAGCAGCTCCACATACTCGTCAATGTTGTTGATGGACACATCCGCCGTGGGCGTGGAAGCGGCCAAAGCATTGCCACTGCCATTGGGAATGGCTGAGCCAACACCACCGTGGCCGCTGCCGCTGCCAGTGCCAGTGGTAGTGCCCGTGCCCGTGCCACTGCTGGACATGGCGGCCACACTGCTGTGTGAACGGGCCGAAGAGCGTGTATGTGAGTTATGCAAGGCAGCCGACCGGCGGCTGTGTGTATTGTTGTCGGGTATATCTGCGAAATGGTAACAATATTTTATGTATTTATGTATTTACTTATGTATAATGGCACAGAGCAAAAACCCACCATTGCTGGCATTGTCCTTGCGATTCTTCAAATAGAATATGATCTGTTCGACATCGTTTAGCTGCGATTTGTGTATCAGGTCGCATTTTTCCACCACTTCGCGGGCCAAAGCAGCCGGATCGGTTTTGGCATTCAGCGAGCGAAGCCTGATGATTTTCTGGCAATGCTATCAGAGAGAAAAACCCAAAAAAAAGCAGAGTTTTTAATAAATAATAATTAGCAATTAATCGAACACACGACAAGCGAAACGACTAGACGGGGTAAATGAGGGCAAAGACCCCGCACTGCCGACCGACCCGTCATCGACCCCGTTTCATGCTATCGATTGGCCAGCAGCTCAATGTCAACCGGAGTAGCCCCCGCGCCCACCGCCGACCATCATCACGTACCTTCTTCTCCTCAATCATTGGATTATTGGGCTCCCCAAATACTGTCGCCTCCAGCTGATAGTTGACAATCAGAGCCTTGTCCGTGGGATGCGGCTCAATGGAGCCGCCTTTCCATCGCCTAAAATGGTAAAGAACATTAAAATGGAATGCAATCAGCAGAGACAGAGACAGAGACAGAGCTACAGATAGAGAGAGGGAGCTAGCATACTGCAGCATTGGATATTGGATTGTTGGATCAATCATAAATTATGCGGTTCAATGCGTAATGAGGTAATAACTATTCCTTTGTTCTGGACTAATGTTTCTTCATTTCTTTTGTTTTCTGTTGCAAGTTGTTGTTGCAGACACACAGACAGCACACACACACACGCACACGGACACGCATAGTAACAAAAGGTTGCGGCAAGTGGAAAATCAATAAAGAGCAAACCGCCAGCAGCAAGGTGAGTGGGTTTTTGCGGGGGGACCGGACCACCTCTCTTCTGACATATGACGCGCGAGTCGTTTTTTTGTTTTTTTTGTTTTTTTGTTGCTGCTTCTCTGCCGTTTGTTCTTCCACTTCTACACCCACACGGTACTACATACGCACTTTTTAATAAACTTTGCGTCATCATTTGTTTGCATCTCTGTGGATTTGGTTTTCGCCAAATTTGTAATAGGAAAACCAAACTCCAATTCCGTTGTGGTTGTTGTTGTGGCTGTCGTTCTGGGCGGGGGGCGGCAGGTGTCACTCAGGCAGCACAAATCGCCTCTTTTTGGCCGTTCTTCCTGTGGGTGCTGCTGCTGCTGTCTCTGCGAGTCGCCGGCAATCGCATTGATTATATAATAGATGTAGTGTATCACAATTAGAAGCAGCACAAAGCCCGATATTGTTTGAAAAATTAATAACAAAACAAATTGCATGCGACTCCCCGATTCTGGCCCGTTTCGTAGAGGTGTCAAACCATCGAGTGTACTATCGATGCTATCGATATTTTAAGGCTAGCCTCTACTATCGACGGTTTTGCGACTATCATGATAGTATCGAGCTACAGCCGTTGCGCTTTTGATATGTTTGGATTGACTGCTATCAAATACGAAGAGTAACAGAAAATATATTGTTTTACTTTGTTCACAAATTCATCTGCGAATCAGGCAGGTATGACCAATTGAGAATTTTGTTTACATATTAGGAAAGGAAAACGTAAGTACGTATTAAGTATTAACAATTGAGAATTTTGTTTACAAATTAGGAAGGAAAAACGTAAGAATTTTGCTTACAAATTAGGAAGGAAAAACGTAAGTACGTATTAAGTTATCACTAACAATTGAGAATTTTGATTTGGGAATAAGGAAGAAAAGTGTAAGTACTTCAGTACTCCATTATGTTTCACGTGCTGTTTGTCTGGACCAGTTTATTTCGTGTTCCGCCTGAAAAAAACAAAAACAATGGGTGCCTGGTTCTAAAGTATTGGCAGGGAAACGAGCATCAACTGTAAGTACTCACATCTTCTGTCGCAGGCGTCGAGGATGCGTCCGCGTGGGCGGTATTTTAATGTGTCCTCAACAGTGGTGCTTTCCTGGGACTTCTCAGCTGCAAGTTGTGTTTGCCTCGAGTTTATGCTGAGTTTACGATGGCTTTGATTAATTGTTTTTGTTTTTGTTTTTGTATTTTGAGTGCTGCTTTTGTCTGGATCATCAACGGAGCTTCATCATCAGTTCAAGGGTCATCAACAGGTCTACTAGTGCTTCGCACACTTGGACTTTCGACGGGATCTGCGACGCGGTTTCTTTGCGCAGCTCTGTTTCGGCTTTGACTTCTTGCAGCTACGTGACTTGCGTCGTCGCCGTTTGCCACAAGAAGACTTTGCCCGCTTGGACTTGCACTTGCCTCCTTTGCGCTTGCGCTTTGAGCTGCCGCGTTTTCTCGTCTTCTTGTGACAGCCAGCGCCCTCCGGTTCGTTGTGAGAGTCTAACAAAGACACGGACGAAGCACAGGGGGCCCACAAGCGACAGCTGGAGCACTGGAACCGCTGTGCAGGCGCCATATCCCTCCACCGCTGCGCAGCTACGTTGAGCTTTGCCTTTGGTGAGAAGCGTTGGCCCCGCAAGAAATTGCGGTAAGCTGCTGGCGTTCGCACGCCATTGGCCTTTTCCCGAACTGGCACGTCGGAGTCGGAGTCGTAATCCGACGAAATAGATGAAGCCTCAGAGTAAGACATTATTGAAAGCAAGCACAAATAAACAAACAAAAAAAAAAAAAATTTAAGAAAAAAAATTTGAAATTTGAAAATTTGATTTTTTGTATTCTGTATTGTATTTGTGAACTGTGTATCGGTTGGAGTCTGGAGTTGGAATGAGCTCAGGCCTGGGCTTTGCCTACGCCTCAACAAAATTTGGGATCAAGTTCGGTCTCAGAGCCTCCCTAGATTGTGTATTTTTGCGTGTTCCAATTCTGCTCTTTTCTATGGAAATTTGATTCATCAGTCGACTATGAAACATATGTCAGTACAGGTACAGGTACAGGTACAGGTACAGGGTGCCCCAAATTCTCCTCCGTGAGGAAATCACAACAATCGGATACTTTTTGCATTCCCCTAATTGCAAATTGGATGCGAGATAATTGCTGACTTTGGCTCAAGGATATTTTTCATTCGGCATGCACAGCGCCAATATTAAACAAATTGATGGGCTGAAGGGGGAAAGGTCATAGCCTTTCGTATGATGTTTATTTTTATTATTATTAAATGTTTACGTTTAAATTTACCATTTTTTGAGTGGGCATCCGTGGGCCTTCTTTTAATATTTTTGTAGTAAGTTTAAGTACTTTTCAAAGACTTTATTTATGTATTTATTTATTGGTTTTAATGCCCAACAAAACCGGATTTATTTTGTTTGTTATTTTGAAAAAAAAAAATACCGCCATTTGATGAACTTTGCTAAACATAAAATTTGCCGCATTTAAAGCTACTTGAAGAGCAGTGGCAGCCTGCAGTGGGGCTCCGTCTCGCCGGGATTGTCCGAATAGAGGGACACGGTCCTGGCGCTCAGATCGAAGACGCCAACGGCAATGGTCTTGACCACCTCGTCGCAGCTACCATTCTCCCGCCACACGCAGTACTCTCCGCCAGAGACGTCGCCCAGCATGTGGCGCACATCCTGCTCGCTCATTGGCGGCTTGTAGCTGCCGAATACCCGCATGCGCGATACGCTGGAATCGACCATCAGGGCGTTCGCCTGATCCTGGCGTATGCGATCGAATCTGGGAGCGATCGAAACGGTAAAGGGTAAACAGAGTACTGTTCCTGCTGCGGATATCTACTCACTGATTCACATGGTAGTTGTGCTCGCCCAGGGGTATCTCCTTGATGTTCAGAAGCGACTCATTCTTGCGGTCTGGCGATGGGGCCATCTCCACGTTGTAGAACATCTGGCGCGGATCGCTGTGGAATGCCCAAGGGAACACTGTAGACTCTGCGGCAGGGCAAAGCCCAAAGCCCGAAGCTCCGATACTCACGCCAAGAAGGTGAAGTTAATGGAGCAGGCGTCGGCTGCCCCCACGCCAGCGTCCCTGAGCACCCTGAAGGCATCGTCCACGTTGCTGGTGGCCAGCAGAGCTCGTGTCAGGAAGTGTCTCGCTGAAGCGAACGGCATTAAGGATCACCGGATAAGGATAAGGATACGGATAGCCTGGAACAGGCACACTCACGTGTCTTGCCGCTGCGCAGCAGCTCCGCGCTGATTGTGTTGATGCTGAAGACCAGTCCGTGGTGATTCTGGTTCATGGTGTAGCCGGGCAGGTGGCCCGCATAGCACAGCGACATGAAGTGCTCCTCCTTGACGTTGTACTTGCCCTGCGGCTTGTCGCTGACGATGTGCGCCACAACAAAATAATAATGATTGAGCGCCTCCGTGAGGGCGTCCTCGGTGTGGCCCAGCAGTCGCTGCAAATGAGATGCGATGCGAGTGTTAGTGCCACCTGCTGGCGGGGGTTAAGCTGCTGCCGGGGGTTTACCCACGCAATTCTTTTGGTTGACAATAATGGTGGAGCAGCCGGTCGGCTGGTTCTTGTTGCGCGGCTGCAGCTTCAGGGCCTGCGGCAAGATGTCATCCAGATGCAGCAGAAAGAGCTGGCAAACGAAAACGAAACGCAACCGTTTAAAATTTGATCAATTACTTTGGATAATTGGCCTGCACCCTGGCCACCCTGGCAGATTGCCTCTGATTGAATATTTTGTAAGTAAGTAAGGCAGACGGCGGGGCCTGAATACTCAATCGATATGCCTGCTTAATTATTTATTTATGAGCTATAAGCTATCCCCCCAGCTGAAGCGATTCCCATGCTTATTTACTGTATTTACTGTGTGTCTGTGTGTCTGTGTGGTGCATGGATCACAGCCATGACTCTGCTCTGGTGGGCCTCTTTGGCTAGCCTTCCATTCTTGCCAACATTTGAGATATTGCAATGGCAAGGCATCTCTCAGCTGCAGCTGCAGCTCGTCATCGATCCAATTCCATGCTAATTATCAATAAAGCTGCAACAGAGAGCTGCCATCGAAGTGCTAACACAGCTTAATGCAATCATAATGCTGCTAATTTGAATTATTAATTGTCGCCCAGGTCTCAGTCTCCATCTCAGTCTGCGTCTCCGTCTCCGTCTCCGTCTCGGGCACCGTCACAGCAGCCAAAACGAACGCACTGCCCACCGTGTGGCGCTGCTGATGGGGCTGGGCTGATGCTGATTTAGTTGGTTGGATAGATGTACATATGTATGTACGAGTTGATTTTCATAGTTGCGCGGCCAGGGTCAGCGCGATTTTTGCGTGCAATTAATTGCTCGGACCAAAAGCTGTACGAATGCTGTGAACAAAAAATTATAACACATTATCGAGCAACAAGGCAGCTGCTCTGCTCTGAGCTGCGACTTCTGCATTGCTGCCCCATGCTGCCCCATGCTGCCCCATGCTAATGAGCCATGTGCCCAATCCCCCAATCCCCCAATCCACCAATCCCAATGTCAATCGCAGTTCCAATACCAAATGGCAGCCATAGGCCAGGCCAAATGAAGCCAGGCAAGGGTTAAGTTCAGATCTGAGGTGTTGCCAATTTGTCAGGCTTCTCTTCTCTGCTCTTGCCTCTTGCCTCTTGTGTGTGCTGTGGCTCTACAAATTGGCTTAAATTAGAGGGGAAAATGTCTAGGCTTAGCACTGGCAGGCACTGGCAGCTGTGGGGGATCTAACTTTGACAGTTCTACCAACTGCAGGGATAGCTGCAGATTATTTGCTCGAAATTGAGGCCATAAAGTGATAATGATTTAGGCTGCTAAAACATAGCTAATGTAACCCCGAACCCGTCTCGTGTATCGGCATAAAAATACCTGGCCCTGCCCATGGGAAGCAAAAGCAGAATCAAAGAGGGACTAAAAATCGATGGAGGAACTGCCGTTGGCTTATCGTTGGAATGAAATGTGCTGGTCGTAATTTGAGACACAATTATTTCACCACAAACCTGATTAAAAATAGTACAAGGGGCGCGTAAGTCCCAAGACTATAAATTAATAAAATTATCAATTTCACAATTGCATAAATTTCAGAAACAAGTTATTGTTTTTTTATGGCAGGCTTTATCTGTAAAATAGATCGTACTTCGAGGTAATTTCAGTGTGCCGAGTCTGGGGGGGGGGGCCCCTGGAGATGTTTCCGCTTGACAAAAGGTTGCCTCGAGTCGTGGTAACCCTTGGCTGTGGTAGGGTATGCAGCAGGCAGCAGGCAGCAGGCAGCCGCAAATCAGAACTAGTTCAATGTCTGTGCTCTCTGCACGGGGCAGTTTCGACTGCTGCTTGCTGCACAGTGATCGCTGGCTAAGTGGGAATCCTCAGCTCAGCTCAGCTCAGCAATTAGATGAGGCAGAAGCCCATTGTTGGCATTGTTGAACTGTGCACGTGGCGGGTGAATCCGCCTGCCAGTGCATCGATTACAATAAAATTAAATTGGAAAACTGAGCTAAACATCTGCTAATTGCATTGTTGGATTATCTAACAACATGCAGCCCTGGCGGTGTGTGAAGTGTACCCTTTTAGCCAATTAACACTGTACAGTTAGACAGAGAGAGAGAGAGAGAGGGGGAGGGGGGGAGAGGGCAGTGCACTCGGCGCTGTCATTGGACACCCCACAGACACGCAATGAATGTCCCACAAAGATTATTCAATTGCACGACCGACTCCGCGTCGACTTTGACTTAAAGTTTTTCCCCCTTGAGCTTTAGCTACACCGTTAGAGCCTGCCACACTCCCTCCCACACGGCGTGGCCTTGCAGTGTCGATTATTAGCGTTAAATTACAATATTTAAGCCAAGAGGCAAGGCAAAGCCAAGAGCCAAGAGGCAAGAGGCAACCCCAACAATTGTATTCATTTTAATGAGCATTTAATTGTGTACGATAGATAATGCCATATTACCCATTAGTCGGTCGCTTACAATTTACAGTTGGATTAGTTGCTAATTAGCTACAGCTACCACCCCCACCCCCACCCAGACCCTGACTAATTTGGAATTGAGGCTAGCCTATGCTCACCTTATGGAATTCCACCTCCGCACCATCGGCCACGCCCTCCAGCTCGCGTATGTACTGGGGGAAACTCTCCTTCACCGACTCCAGGGTCTCATTGTAGATTTGCTCTGGAATTAAATCAAATCAAATAAATCATTCTAATCCAATTCAAACCAATTCAAAATCCACTCGATCATCTATCCATCTATCCATCCATCTGTTGTGCTCCCAAAACTATATATTTGTGTGGTGGGTGTACTTACTGCCTTTTGGGGACTGATAGAGGGGCAAGTACGTCTCGATCAGTGTCTTCGATAAGAGCAAAAAGTTCTTAATCATCGAGCCAAACGTGCGGCCCTGCAAACCAATTAAATAAACAGAAAACAAATACAACCAAATTATATATAAATATATAAATATATTTCCATTATAATTAAACGATTAAATGCTTTCTAATTTTGTAACAAAACAAAACAAACAAACAAACAAAATAGAAGGCACGCCCCCCTATGGAGATTTTATTTTATTTTTTTATTTATTTACTTGATGGAAACAAAAACATATAATCGATCACGACCGATCGATCGATCGGCAGTGTAAAGGAAACCCAACGACGACTAAAACACAACCAGACAATAAAGAAAGAACACAACACAAAAAGAAAAAGAAACATGAAACATGAATAATGAATAATGAATAATGGAATGGGTGTTGGGGGTATATAAAATAACCTTTTGGGTGGGCAGCAGAGACGGACATGGACACGCGGACAAGCGGACACGCGGACACGAAAGCGGATAACTGCGTGCCGTGGAGAGCTCCATGCCATGCAAATTAGATCGGATCGGATCGGATCGGATATTACATATCACGAATCTGCATTAGCATTTGGCATTAGCCAAACGAAACAACGTCCCGAGACTTGACTGTAAGTCTGGTCTGTGCTCTCTGGCATATACACATATATATGTATGTATATATATGTATATTGTAGGTATGTACGGGGTAACTGCAGTAAAGATAACCCCAACCACAGAGCAGACAGATAAAGCTGTTGGCAGCTCTGCTCGCGTTGCCTGTTGCGGCCAAGAATTGCTGGGCTTCTGAGGGGTAGGATATATATATATACATATATTTATCAATTTATAATTATAGATTTATTTAGTGCAACTTCACTTGTAAGTGAGGGAACAACAGGATATAATTAATATAATCTAATACAAATATAATAATAATTATATATATATAATTTGGCTACTTTCCGTTGGCTTTAATTTGGCCTTTTTATGCTTGACTTTCCTTCCAAAAGGTAAACCAAAATAGTGTACAAATATCAATGAAATGTTGCACTTATTTGCGCAGAAATTACGGAGCACTGATGCCACATGGCACACAGTCGAAGTCCAAGTAAAGATGGTAAATGTCTTTAGCTCACTTTCAGACTCTTGCTCAACTATTTGGACTATGAGTGCACTGAAGCCATTAAGTCATTAAATCAGGATGCAATATGCTGCACTTATTCCGCAAATACTGGCACTTAATAACCAAAATTACTGAGTCTGAGTCTTCAGCCAGCCACTTTGCGTCACAATATAATCTAGATAATGAACCCAATAAAGGTCCCAAGGAATTGCAATTTAAAATTCAGTTGGCGTGACCAGCCTAGGAGTGGGGAGTGGGGAGTAGGTAGGACTTCCGCTACTTACCATATCGAAGCCAACCTCATAGTGGGTGCCGCGTGTGTAGAGGACGGGCACCGCCTGGCGACGCGGCAGAATCTTTCCGGAGGACATGGCACTGATTGGAGGCAAGTGAAGTGAAGTGAAGTGGATTGGATTGGATTGGAGCAGCGGCTGCTTTTGATAACAGTTCGTTTGTGTTTGTTTATTTGTTTTATTTGGCGCTCTAAAAATGTTATCGCTGCTGCTGGCTTGTATTGGTTTTGTTTGGGTTGGGTTGGGTTGGGGGTATACGTATCACAAGAACTAGAGTAAGGCAATAAAACTTGCACCCAAAAAAAGAACACAACGAATTTACAATTTGAGATACGGGGGCTGTATTCTTTGATTAATTGCACAGCAACTGGAGAATCAGGCGGCGGCTAATCTGTGTGCGGACTCCACTCGGATTTGGCCAGCTTGGTTCTGGCTTGGTTCTGGCTTGTTTGTTCTGTTCTGTTCTATTGCGCTTGAAGGCAGAATTCAAACTGATTTTGGTTTGTTTTGGCGCCGTTGTCCCAGGCCGGGTGGGCCAAGCATTAGCGATAGCAGCAGCAGCAGCAGCAGCAGCAGCAGGCAGCAGCAGCAGAAGCAGCAGCAGCAGCAGCAGCAGAAGCAGGCAGCAGCAGCAGCAGCAGAAGCAGCAGCAGCAGCAGCAGACGAAGGCGTCGGCGTCGGCGCTGCGGCCGAAGCACTTACTCTTGACAATATCAATCCAAACGACCAAGCAACAAACGAGCCGACTGACTGGACTGGACTGACTCTGATGACGCGGCCAGCAATGATGACGAGCTGCCGCTGTCGCTGGCGCTGCCGCTGCCACTGCTGGCCAAAGCAGAGCGCGGTGACGTCAGCGTTGGCACGCACCACCACCCACCTGTCCGTTTTCACTCCTTTAAGCTGTGATCGATGGAAGTGAATGGGCAAAAGGAGTAAGGGACAGTCGCGAAGGACTCTGCCTTACTATTCCCACGACTACTGGCGTCATAAAGTGGGATTATGTGCTGGCTCGGGGTTCCCATCCCTATCCCATTCGTATTTGCATTTACATGTGGGAGGGAACCCTGTAGCCTGTGGCTCGTAAGTCAATTAGAGGGCTAATAGGCTTTACAATTTAATGCTGGAATGGCAGTTTGTTCTTTTCTGCATTTCTTGTGCCCCTATGCTTTGGGGCCCCACATGGAGTGTGCTTACGTATACGTAATACGCGTACAACTATGACCATGAATATTTTTTTTTTGTTATTTTGCTTTTGTTTAGCGTGCACATACATATGTACATACATATAAACACGTTTAATTTATTTTCACTCCTAGCTCATTTCTTTTCTTGTTTTCTTTTCTTTACTTGGCTTTGTCTTGTCTTGTCTTATTTTCATTTGTTGTCTCATTTAAATGAGTTCGATTTTTGCATGAACGGAACTCAACCGCATTCCCCAGTGCCAAAGCTAGACTTCCCCCCCCATTCCCGCCACTGCCATGGCTGGGCAGTACATTTCCACGCTGTCTGAAAAGCGTGTGAGAGAGCTGAGAGCTGGATAATTAATTAATGGGTAAACCCCACCGAGATGATCTCAAATTATAGATTAATTTTCGGGGCTTGTTGTAGCGAATTTCCACAGCAGCGAATTAAATGCGAATAAATTACAATCACAATTCAATCGGAGATGTTTCTGCAATATATGTATAAAAATGAGTTGCATTTTAAGTTTGCATCTTCTGTATTATAATTATTATAATTATTGTATATATTTTTGGTTTTTTTTTTTTGTTAGTTTCTACATAGCGAGCAGAGCTACGAGTATGAATGATGAACTTTCCTGACGATGATGATGATGATGCGATAATGCCGCAGCGCAACTTTCTCAGTGTTGGGCCCCCCCGCCATTAGCATCACAATTAAATTAATTTTTTAATTTCACACAAACAACATTTAAAAGATAATCACAAATAATCCAGATATTATATAACTGAGAATATGGGATATGTGCTGGTACTATCTGTGGGGGATATACAAAGGTGTGACAGACAATTTCTCAACTGCAATTCGGTCTCAATGATCGAGCCAGAAGACCCATCGAATCGTTGTTCAACGATGGGGCAGAGACCACCCGAGCCCAAAGACGCTTTCATTATTGAATTTTTGAATTTTTGGTATGAACTTTCGTTACGATTTTTATTTGGCTGGCGGCTAGAAAAATGTATGCGCCGCATTTCAATGATAATGAAAACAAAAGTTAAAACAAACACAAAATGAACAAAAAGAACCGCTATGTGGATAAACGATGCTACCAGCCAGCAGGGCCAAAGAGAGTGAGAGTGGATGGCAGAGTGGCAGCGAGAGAGAGAAGCGTAGCAGCGCTGCGCAGCGACGACTGTCAAACGGTGGTTGCCAGAAAATGACATTTTACAGTTGCTTTTACACTCTCTCTCTCTCTCTCTCTCTCCTAATCGCAGCGAGCATGTGCACTTTGTGTTGCAGGCGGGGAACACACACTTTTATGGAGCTACAGAGGGGGGATACAATTGGAATCATCTGGAAAATGTCCATAGCGTCTATAACCATAACGAAACAAATCCAATATATTGTGTATTATAAATTAAATTATTTTTTATGTTGAAGTTAGACTTGGACACTGAAAGTAACCTTTCAATAATGCTCTTTAAATATTTATGTAGTTTTTCTTGTGCGTGACAATATATATATATATATATATACACTATGTTGTCATTGTTCATAATGTGCAGTTTATGTATATAATTTAATAATTTGTATGTTGCGTGACTTAAAAAATCAACTTGCTGCTTGGCTTTCAGTTTAATTGGCATTTTTCAATAGAGACACATTCAATTCAATTACATATACAAACAAACAAACACAAAAACGAAGACTATTTCACAAGTAGGGGCATCCTTTTCCTTAGGGGTTCTGTTTCTTAAGTTGATTAGTTGGTAATTAGTTGTGGGAGTACTCAAACCGAGTACGCGTAGCAGAAGTATCAATAATCATCACTAATCTATCAATCAATAGCGTATCAATCAGTAACCGTTTTGTTCGAAAATTCTTAGATATGTTTACTGCTCAATAAACTGAACTAACTTGGCAAGCAGAGTAGAACAAAGTGCCGTTGTATATACATATTATTTATAAATGGCATTGCCACTGCACTCGCTACAGATCAGACTCAGATTCAATAAGGCAGAGCCAATTCTAGAGCTACTGAATATAAGCTTATAAATAAATAATATATACCGAGTATATGCGATTATGAGCTGAGCTACTGGAGTGCCCCTGCAAGGGTAGGCACATTTCGAAGGGAAGGGCATTCAACGGTCAACCTATGCATGGACCGCATCTCTTTCCACCTCTCTCTCTCTCTCTCTCTTCCCCAAAATGCCCCGAGGCGGAGCGTAGGTCAAGAGCTGCGTCGCAGCTTCGTCTGGTCTGGTCTGGTCTGGTCGGTGGCTGTTGTATATAAATTTTGACATGGGAAAGACTTCGGTTTAAACCAATTTTGGCAAGGCGGCGGTCTATAGGCCATAAGCTGATGACAGCCACCAAACAGATCGCGTGCGCGCTTCAACAGAACCAGATCGAATCCATACCCATACCCATCGCTAGACAAAGCTACAGCTACAGCCACAGCCACAGAATGCACACGAAGAAGCCGCTGCCAAGCATGTTACAGCACCTCCTGCCGCTGCCGCTGCCGCTGCTGGTGGTGTTCGGCTGTGCCTCGGTGGCCGCCTTCGGCAACGAGTATGTCCACATCAAGGTGCATGTGCCCAAGGAGCAGGGCGGTGAGCCGGAGGTGGCCAAAGTGATCCATCACTACCATCACCATCCGCATCCGCATCCGCATCAGCTGCAGCGCCTGCAGCGCGGTCGCCTGGCACCGCCCAAGCCGAAGCATCCCAGTCCCCTGCTGGAGAGCGTCATACTCTCCGATCTGGATAAGCCGCTGCACATGAGCGAGCACGCGGACTACCTGAATCATGCCAAGGAGCTGGCCGCCCATCTCACGGAGTCGTTCAACAAGAAGCAGCCGCCGCCACCACCACCGCCACTGCCCCCCAAGAAGAAGGTGAACACCTACACGATCATCGAGGAGCAGCACAGCTCCAGGCCAGTTCCAGCTGCAGCTGCAGCTGCCGGGCACAGTGGCTACGACTACGAGGATCATCCGGAGCACAGTGTGGAGACGTACCGCGTGATTGAGTCCCGCCCGCCCCAGCCGAACCACCATCAACACTACCACAAGCAACACCACGCCCATCACGAGGAGGAGGAGGACGAGGATCTGGATGTGGATGTGGGCTACCACTACCCATCCGCATCCGCATCCCAGCGATCCCATCCGCATGCGCATGCGCATCACTCGCATCGTATTGGCGGCGGGCCCTATGCAGAGCCCGCGCCCGTCGAGGAGCACATTGAGCAGGAGGTGGAGCCAGGCTACAGCTACTCTGCGCCCTACACCCATGCTGGACGCGGCGCCAAGTCCGGCCGGGCACCGGCACCGGCACCGGCACCGGCCTACACCCTGGAGGCACCCGAGGAGTCGTCCGCCGCCTACGGCTATGACTACTCCAGGCCGAGCAGCAGTGGTGGCAGCAGCACGGGCTTCCGACCATCACCACAACTGAGCAGCGGCGGCAGCGTCGATGGCTACGAGGATGAGCCGGCGGACACCTATGGGGCGCCAGCGCCAGCGCCAGCACCAACGCGTCTTCGTCGACCGGCACTGGTGGATTGGCCCGAGGCCACGGGATTCAATAGTGCCGCCCCCGAGACGTACAACGGTGTCGACAGCTACAACGTAGGTCATGTCCAGGGCTACGGCAGCGGGGGCTATCAGTACAGTGGGCCCTATCTGTAGCGCCCAGCCCCCCCTTAATTATAGACATATTTATTGGCCCCTTTTTTTTTTTGATAGTTGATAAGAGTTCCCGAGCAGACAAATATACATATGGTAGACCTTGAATGTACTCGTACGTGTTTTTGTGTGTGGTATGGCAACCGGTTGGAAAGTGGTTTAAAATGCTTCGCTCGGAAGAGCGGGGAGCGTGGAGCGTAGAGTGAGAGTGAGAGTGAGAGAACTTCTCGAGACCCTAGCTGCTGGCTACTTAAGCTAATGAAATGAGTTATGTCAGTCAGCCGGGTGACCCAGATGTTTAAATTATATGTGGATGGGCAGGCAGGTGCGACTGGAGAGATACCCTAAGCCAGCCATGGCCAGGCTATACATCTCTGGCATTCTCGCCCATTCTCTTTGCCACTTTTCGCTTGTGCATTCGAATAAATGTTCGCACCATTTGGAGTTTCAGCTGCCCTCAATGGAGGGAGGCTCAGAGTGGGAAATACTCCTACTGCTGATGAGACAATAAATATACGGGTATTAATTTATATTGCTGTTCGTTTGCTGTCAAATAAATTGCCAGACATCCTTGGGTACTGGGTACTAGCAGGATATGGGTGTTGCCTATCAGCAGCTTCCATCAGCCGCTGAAAATGTGTCGCCGGGATAAGCCAGAGAGCCAGTAGCCAGCAGAAAACCTGCAGCCAGTTCACGATGAGCGGCCGCTTGGGCCATGTGCTGCACTTTCACCTGCGCGTCTATCAGGTGCTCGGCCTTCATGGCCTGCCCCTGCCTGGGGATGAACGGCCGCGCAGGACGCGCCAACTGCTGCGAGCCTGGAGCCTGTTCATCCTGTTGGCACTGAGTGGCATGGTAGCCGTGTGCCTGACCAGCAATCTGGAATTTCTCTACAAGGGCGACATGTTCGGCTGCGTGAACGATGCCCTCAAGTACATATTCAGCGAGTTCGCACTGCTCTCCATCTACGGGGAGACAATGGCCAGCCAGCGACCGCTGGCCCGCTTCTGGTGGCTCCACGGGAAGCTCAGCAGGCAGCAGCAGCAGCAGCAGCACGGAGTAGGCCAGTCTCGGCCAGCCTCCATGCGCAGCGAACTGCTGCAGTATCGACGCTACCTGATCTCGCTGTACGGCATCCTGGTGGGGGAGACACTCGTCAATATCTGGCTGTGGCAGGTGCAGCCCGCCGACATCCACTTGTTTCTCTTCTGGAGCACATTCGAGCCGCTCGTCTTCATCATGTACCTGCGGAACATGCAGTTTGTGCTGCACATGGAGCTGTTGCGCCAGCACCTGGCCCAGCTCGAACGGGAGCTATGCCTGCTGGCCGACTACTCGAGATTTGCCAGCCGAACGGGTCGCAGCTTCAAGGGCTTTGGGCCCTTCCTGCGACGCCGTCTGCTGCAGAAGCAGTGCGTCTACAACGATGTGCATGAGATGTACACCTGCTTCCAGCGGGCCTTCTGCTACTCCACCCTGACCGTTCTGCTCTCGATCTACGTGCGGATCGCAGTCGATTGCTACTTCATGTACTACACCCTCTACATAGCCATTGCCAATTTGGGTAAGCCACCGAGTCGAGGCGAGTCGAGGCGAGTCGAGTCGAGTCCATTCTGATCCTTTATTTTGGGCTGTGTGCACCGTTCAGATTACTCGCTGATATTTCCCGCCTTGTTTGAGATACCCGCCTTCATCTATGCCTCGCAGAGCTGCATGGTGATGGTGCCACGGATAGCCCATCAGTTGCACAACATCGTCACGGACACCGGATGCTGTAGCTTTCCAGATCTCTCCCTGCAGGTACGTATGGCCCAGCCTGCACTCCAGCTAGCTCTACTCCGATTTCAATTCGTTGTCTCATCCTTGTGGAATCTTTTTTGCAGATTCAAAACTTTTCGCTGCAAATCCTTCATCAGCCGCTGCGCATCAATTGCCTGGGCATCACCATCTTGGACTGTTTCCTGATCACGCGGGTGGGTTGGAAGAGTCCTGCAGGTTCTGGCAATTCAATTCTCTTTCAATTTTCTTGCAGATTGCCTGCTCGGTGGGCACCTACATCATCTACACCATTCAGTTTATACCAAAGTTTAGCAATCAATACTGGTAGAATTTCTACTCTATCTTGGCTCGAAATGGCTCTCCGCCGTTGTTCTTCTGCACCAACTGGAACTAGAATTAATATTATTCGCTAGAAGGCTTAACCTTATAATGCGATTCCATTTATTGTCTTATTTTCGCTTGGCCTCTGTGACGCTCCTGAAATGTTGATGCAGCAGGACAGGAGGAGGAGCGGTGCAGACTCTTGCCCCACGAACATCAACAATTGCACTGATTGCTATATGGTAAATTTAAACCAGACCAGAGCTCGAAAAAGATGCTCAACCAATTTTTTGTACATATGTATTACTGTCTGCTCGCGGAAAAGACAGAGAAAAATGAAACAGACGTGCTCTCTCTCTCTGAGCAGAACACGTATTTTTGTTGATCTCGTGTTTTCGGTTTCGTTCGGCGCTCAGGAACTGAACATCATCGCATCATTCACTGAGAAAAACGAGCCAAGTGCAAGTAGGAAGTGTCTTTTTTTGTGCGGTTTTTTGTGCTCCTTTCCTCGCAGCCAAAGCTTGAAAGAGGAAGGGAGAAAGATATAGGGCACATCCTAATTGAGGCACGGACGCAACACACACACACACACACAGCATTCGCAAAAGACACTTTCGGCTCGAATGCATAAGGAGAGCGACAAGACACTCCCGTTGGTCGAGCAAAGAGCGAAGAGCGAAAAAACGAAGCGGAAGGGTCTTTTCGATTCCGTTTTTAATCGTGTCCGCGAACGACCGGTTTTTTTATGACTTCTTGCTAAAAGGGACCACTTCGCACGAGCTCCGATTTAAGCGGATGCTGCACCACCGACAACATAAATAAAACTGCACAAACCAATTATAATAATATTGGCCGATGGAAAATACAAAAGTGCTTGGACATAGCCAGAGCAGAGCAGAAGCAGAGCGCAGTCTTCTCGATCATTTTTGGGGCATTCACAAAAAAAAAAAAGTGCTGCCGCGTTGCAAACAGCGTTTGATGTTTTATCAGAACAAGTGCCCAAGGTAATGGCAGCAAATTTCAGAATTTCCATTACGAAATTGTTTTTTTGCTTATCTAGCTAATTCATGAGTGGGTGCCGAGTCTGACAGAGTTTCTATTGGCAATCGATCCAAGTTTAAAGGTAAATTTAAATTGTTAGAGTCGAGCCTTGGGGACTGGGGCGTGGGCTAGGTATAAGATGCATTCTTTCCTGGTTTATATATTAAAGCTTTTTTATATTCATTAAAATTATACATAAATTTAAACATATACAGTATATAGTATTTATATATATATAGTAGAGGATGGGAGGGGCGGGGGTGGGTTGAGTCAGAAGCAGCGTTCGGTGCGTTGGATTATTAAGTAATTATTTACAAATGTGTCTTCCGCCTGGGCGCTGGACGGTTGCCTCCTCCCTCACTCCCGCACGCTCGCACACTCTCCTCTCTATCGCTCTATCGAGTCTACTGCAAGTTGTGCCGATTGATTGCTCCACAAATTGAGATTATTCTCTGTTCCATTACAAAATTTGTAGCTCCTCTTGTCCTTTTTCTGCCTTATGTACGATCAGGATCTAGACTCAAGTATTATCTGTTGTCTAGCCATAATGCTACAGTAATGTTTGCTGAATTGATCCAAATAAAGACCTACACACACACACACACACACACACACACAATCTACTCTCTCTCTCTCTGGGGGTAAAATATTGCTAGAATTTCAGGGCGAAGATTCGGCGAGTTCTTTGGGGGCGGGTGTGGAGACACGTGCTGCTGGGAGACTAAAGACTATGCATTGGAATTATATTTATAAAGATTGGATTGCTTGTTTAGTGTGTGTTTGGGGGGCGGGGCGTGGGCTGGGGGATATTCCATATCGCCTAATCGTATTCATGACTTGATTCTCGTTTCGCAATCAGATTCTCGCGCTCATCCTCATTGCCCTCAATGATGGTTATGCCAGCACCGGCCGAGCCATGGCTGCCACTGCGATTGAGCGGCTTAATGCGGTGCACTGTTTCGGTTAGGCCAGAGCCAGTGAGCACCTCCACCTCATCGTCATCCTCGTCGTCGGGCACTGTGAAATATGGATGCGATGAAACTGGACGGAACTTATAGCCCGTCAGCACGAAGAACACATAGGTGGCCATCTCGCGAAACATCTCGTCCAGCCAGGCATACTGGAACACCACAGTCATCTGGAGCAGGTCGACAATGATGCGTGTGAAGTAGATATAGCAAACGATCATAATGTAGAACTGGCGGAAGAGCTTCAGTTTGCGTAAATTGATCGCCGCCTTGCCATCGGTGGCAGAGGCCTCATGCAGATGGCGAATGGACCACACAATGGGGAACAGTATGGCGCCGCAGCACAGCAGATCCACAAAGAAGAAAATGTTGTGCCAAGTGCGAAACTCGGCATCGCTCTGGTCCGATTCGTCTGTGATGATTTGGGCCACATTAGCCAGAACCTAGCGCAGCAGAATGAAGACAAGTTAGAGCCCCCCCAACAAAAATCACTCCAAATGCAGGGAGTCACACTCACTTGCAGGGGGATGACAATCATGAAGATCTTTTTGTCCTTGTCCGAGAGTATGTGCTTGATGAAGGTCCAGCCAGTGCCGATAAGCACTATGGTTATGAAGAGCACAGCCCCCTTGAGCAGATGGGCGATGTAGTAGAGTATGGCCCAGGTCTCCACATGCTCGCCGCGCTTCTCAATGAAATGATAGTTGATTGAATGGAACATGAGGGAGAGCGACTTGAGGAACACCAGCACAGCCATCAGGTAATGGATTTTATACACAGTGTGCTTGCTCTTCTTCAGAATGAAGACCCAAAACAGGCCGGACAGGAAGAAGAGCAGACTCATCATGAAGTACAGCGCCGGCAGGGGCATCTCCCCCGCCGACAGATAGTTGCCATTGTTGTTCTCCTCAATGTCCACCTGTAACAAGAAGGCATAGCCAAATGATTAGTTGATGTGACTCCACCTCCCCCATCCCCTCCGGGTATCGTGTGGCTCTAACTCACATTGAAGGACACTATTTTGGGCGCATAATAATTGGGACAGGCATGGAAGTACAAGTTGTAGAGGCCCTCATCCCGCAGCGTGGCCACCAGCATGGAGAAGGTAAAGTTGTAATATGTCACACCCTGGATGACCTGCCTGTCCAGCGGTAGCGTCGAGTCCTTGCACAGTGCATTCTGCGATTGCTTGTACGAATTATACATGCTGCTGCCCTCCCCCATTTCAGGCAGACTCTCGCCGGGAAAGGGGCCAAGTGGCTCAGAGGGCCAGGGATTAACAGGGGCTGGTGCTACTTCTTCGCCATCGTTGTCGGCCTTGGTCTTGTCGGATTCAGTGTCAGTGTCAGGTGCAGCAGCTGCAGCTGCAGCTGCTGGTGCAGCTGCTGGTGGTGGTGGGAATGAAGCCACCTTTGGCGCTTCCACTGGCTGCTGCTGTTTGGGCGCTGGTACAACATCTTCCTCCTCCTTGCCAGCAGCTTCTGGGTCGACAGCAGCTTCCTGTTTGAGTTCAGGCCTCCTCGGTGGCTTGTATATGGTGTTCATCAACGATTTTAAACGCTCCTTGTCCAGGGTAAGTTGTTCAGGAATCTTGACTGGTGCATCCTTCTCAGTCTCGGGAACAGCATCGTCCTGAATTTTGGCAGGAGCAGCAGGCACACCCTCCTTGGCGGCAGCCGGCACTTTGGGGCTGGGCTTCACATCGGCTGGCGTTTCGATTTTGCCCACAACGGCGATGGGCGGCGATGGTTTCACGACACGCGGCTGTCTCAGCTCTTCCGTATCCATGGGCTCCTCCACTGAATGCTCGTCCATGTCATCGGCTCCCTCGGCAGAGTACGGCGGCGGTATATCGCGCCGCTGCCTAAACAGCGCCGAGTCACTGACCTTGGCCAAGGAGTTGCGCTTGTGACGCGAGGCGACATCCTTGTAGATGTGCATATTGCCCCATTCGGGGGAGCACTTAACGCGCACTCTGTGCATGCAGAGACATGTGTCAGTGTGTGTGTGCAAGCAAGGTGTATCTGTGTGTGTGTGCAAGCAAGGTGTATCTGTGTGTGTGTGTGTGTGTGTGTGTGTGGCTACTCACTTTAGCTCCTTCAGATCGAGAACAAAGAATAGTATGGGTCCACTGGTCTGCATATTGGGCGGCTCCTCGAGTATGCATTTGTTTTGATGCGAGTCCAGATAGGGATTCAATTGGTCAATGGTGGTCTTGTCCAGCGACAGGCCAAACTGCACAACAGTTAGGTTAGAGGAGTTAGGCTCAAGGCTCAAGGCTCAGGGGTTCGGGGTTCGGGGTTCGGGTCCACCTTCTACTTACCAAGTCCCCGGAATTCTCTCCATCAATGGTCAGCTTACTGAGCTGCACATCCAGGTGGCCATTGGTGTAGAAGCCGAATGTGCTCAGTGCAATGTAGGGGCGCATATCGTTCTGTGTGTGATAAGTGGTTAAAGGAAAATATGAGTCAGGTGCCCATTTCCACTGCCATTGCCGGTTGTGCGACAGGGTGACAGGGGCCTTGGGCGGGGGGGAGGGCGGGCCCTCACAAACTTACGCGAACTTCCAGGTGATGTTTACGCGACAGCACAGCATGGGGAGCGCTTAATAGTGTGACAATAACTAGCAAAACTATTGATTTAATATTTAAGATGTGCGCCGGTGGCACCTGCTTCGCGAATATCCTCAGCGCACGCATTTTTTTTGTTCAATTATCGTCTCGCTGGATGGTGTCGTCTCGTGGCACTTTTGTGGCTCTGTTCCAGAATAGACAACAAATTAGTATGTGCCTGCTTCGATTGATACTGTCGCAATTGATTGGTTTCGTTTGACACTACAATTTTGAATTTTTCACACCTTTATCAGAATTTATTAGTTCTTTTTACACATTTATTTAGTTTCTTTTTATCAATACGCCACCCGGCCAGTGTGACCGCGGATTTATCGATCAAATATACCGCCCGGACCCCCAGAAATATTCCGAAATATACCTTCTCACGAACTGGCCACACCATCCACACACAACAACACATTAGAGGTGGAGAAATATCGATGTTCGTGGACATCGATGTTTTTCAATGTTTTCAAAATAAACATCGATGAAACATCGATGTTTTAAAAAATAGAAACAAATTTTTTTTTCTGTAAATTAAATTAATTTAATTGAAAAGATTTGTTTAATTTTATAACAAAATAAAAAGCTTTATTCGTAAAAGCAAGAAAACAAAAACAAATTTAATGAGATCAAAATACAAATCTTATTCTATAAGTTTAACAGAACATGGTTTGGTTCTTATTGATACATGAGTTTAGCTACGACATCAACTTTAAGTCTGGTGCGACGGTCCGATATGATCTGTCCAGCCTTGTTGAAAGACCTTTCGGACTCGCACGAAATTGCCACACATCCACCGACGTTGCCTACACCACAAGTTGAATACCTGAAAACATCTATATACAGTTAATAATTCAATTTATAAATTTATTTTTGCACATACCTTCTGCGCTTCCCTTACTTTACTTACCTTGCAAAAACATCGATAGTCGCCATAAAACATCGATGTTTCCAAAAATTTTAAAACATCGATGCATCGATGTTTTCATCGATGTTTCCCCACCTCTACAACACATCCATACCAGTGCTCGAAAAAAGAATTGGGAATCCCAGACTTTTGGGATCTCTATTTTGCAGGGTCATTTACATTTGCATGTTCCAATTCGCGAAAACTTTAAAAGAGAAATAAATTTTAAAAAGAAAATTTTAGAAAACATTTCTCGAAAGTCTGCAAAAATCAGCAGACCCCAATCCCGATCTCCACGATGTCAGAAAATTCGGACAAACCGCCCACAAAGCGGGTTAAAATGGATCCAAGTGAGTCATCCTACCGGCACTCCCCCCTACGTTACTCTTGGTTAAATTTTTGTACATTTTTTTTTGTTTCGCCAATGTTGCTGGCGGCGCAGGCAGTGGTGCGGGAACCTCCCAGCGGCAGGGAATCCGGGGGGGGGGGGGGGGGGGGGGGGGGGGGGGGGGGGGGGGGGGGGGGGGAAGGAGGAAAGGGGGGGGGGCCGAAAAAAGGGGGGGGCGAACCAGCAACAGTGTATGCTCCCAGCAGCACGCACACAAGTGCAATCGGGGTTGCACGCTGAAGGAGGGGGAGGGGGGGGGGGGGGGAGGAGCAAAAAGCCCCCCCCAAAAAAAAAAAAAAAAAAAACCCCAAAAACAAAAACCGCCAAAAAGCCAATGTCGGGGCGGGGGGGGAGGGGGGGGGGAACCTCCCAGCAGCAGCAGCAGGGAATCCAGGGTGTTGTGGGTGCCGCAGAAGCTGTGGCGGCTGCAGTCGGTGGTGGAGCGGGTGGATCGCAGGACAAACGCCAGGATGTGCCCGAAGACTGCAGGTGCCAGATCCAGAAACAGTATATGCTCCTGCAGCACGCACACAAGTGCAATCGCGAGGTTTGCAACGTCACTTGCTGCAAAGCGATGAAGGCGGAGCTGGCGCACGTGAAGCAGAGCAAGGACTGCAAGCAGGGCAAGGACTGCACCATGCTGTACTGCTTCTCCTTGCGCCAACAGGCACGCCACTACAAAAACTGCACCAACAGCACCTGCACATTCTGCTCTCCGCTCCGCCAGAAAGCCAATGTCGGTGGCGGCGCAGGCAGTGATGCGACCCTCGGCGGGGGTCCACACGCCCCACACACTGACAGTGTTTAGGCTTAAGCTTGGCTCAAGCTTGCAGCACCGCGGAATGGAAAAATTCCTGCCAACTTCATATAAAAACATGTATCCGTGTATCCGTGTATCCGTGTATCCGTACTTATTCAGTATATTTATGTAGGAATACATGTTTTTTTTTGATTTTAAAGTTTTTTAAATTGAAATTCTACGAGTGGAGTGTACGGTACGAGTGAAATACGTGCATTAAACGCAAACTTGTGACTTAGAGCTGCTGCGCTGCATTATATCGAACAAACGGCCGTTGCCGCCGGACCCTCCCTCATTCCATGTAAGCCATTGGGGGGGCATCGAGGGCTCCTAACTTGCGACGCGGCTGCAGACCCAGGCGCGGCTTGAACTTGCCATCGCCCAGCATTACCTTTGGCGGCACCTTTTTGCCCCGAAATGTGGCCGCCTCGAACGAGGGCGGCGGCGTTATCTTGGCCGATCTGTGCACATCCAGTGGTATATGCCAGGCGCCCTTCTTTGTGGCCGTGACAGGAGCAGTTTCTGCATCAGTATCGGTAGCCGCCCGAATGGGTTTCACCTGAGTGATGGCCTGAGCCTCCAAGGTGTCGTTGCGCTTTTTAAAGTAGACCACCTCCAGGCCAAGGGTGATCATGGCCAGCACCAGGCCAAAGAGCGTGGCTATGAACACACCGCCCAGACTCTCCAGGGTGATGCCCTCCTGGTCCTCGGAGAGCGGACAATTGCGGAGATTCGATTGATTCCAGTAGCGGGCCTTGAGCTCCTCGAAGAAGCGATCCTTCTGCAGCTCCAGTATGGCGTAGCTGAGCTCGTCCCCCAAGTGGCTGCCCTGCTGGACGGCCACCGCATACGGCTGTTCGGCGAACACCTCGCCCACCTCCGTCAGGTTGCAGTTTCTGGTTATCTCGTACTTGATCTCCGCCGCATCATGGATGAACGCATAGTCGGCATTCTCGTGGGCATCCACGTTGGCGAAGCCCTGGCGGGCATCCATCACCGGGCCCGAGCTGTTGATGGCCAGCAAGATGTGGCCGTACTGCTCCTTGATCGGATAGTCCCAGATGCGGAACTTCTTAAAGTCCTTGGAGGCATTCAGCGCCAGCTCCTTCCACATGCGGTACAGCGTGTCCTCCGCAAACTTCATATTGATGAAGTACTGATGCGTGTCCGATTCCATGACGACCGTGTAATTGATGCGCGACTGGCGGGCCAGCTGCTCCAGCGACTGCACCGGCGTCTGCATGCGCTCCACCGTAAGGAAGGCGGCCAGATTGGCCGTAAATGTGGCCAGCATGAGGACCACGAACAGCCAGTAGGCTGCAACCAGCATGCGGCCCGAAATGGCCTTGGGCGCCTCGCCGCCGCCCTGCGGCGTGAACGAGGTGAGGGCGAACCAGAAGCTCTCGCGCAGCGTAAACTCACGGCAGGCATACGGATAGGCGGCCCGGTTGTTCCGCGAGCTGTACGGCGAGTACTTGTCCATGAACCAGATCATGAAGGCCGTGCCCACCAGGGCGGCCACAATGCTCAGCCACACCTCCAGCCGCAGGACGGTCATGAACTTGAACAGCGACGTCTTGCGGACGGGCTTCCGGATGACAATCGAGATGCCCGTCTGCTCGTAGTAGGGCGGCAGGAAGTCGATGACCTCCTCCCGCTCCGAGTACATCTTGAGGGCGGCAATGGCAATGTCCGTTTCGCCGCGCACCAGATCCCCCACCACCCCGTCCCACTCATTGTCCGCGCTCAGCTCGCCCATGTGCCCCGTCCGGGGGGCCACGATCTCGTACTCAAAGTTGAGCTTCTGCGAGAGCCGCTGGATGAAGTCGATGCAGTAGCCCTCCCAGATGGGGGCGCCCTTGCGGTCGAGCAGCAGCTCGCCGGTTCGCTCGCTGCGCCGCAGGTAGCTCCAGGGCATGCTCTCGGCGGTGCCAATGCGAAAGAAGCGACGCGCCGGACTGACCGTCTCGTTGAGCAGGCGCAACGTGCCACCGCCCAGGGTCGACCACACGGCCAGGTCCGTTTTGGCCTCATGCTCGCTGGAGTAGTAGCCGGCGGAGATGTTTGCCGCAAAGGTGAGCGCCGGCAGGACCACTGCCGTGGGCTGGCCCGGCTCCAGTTCGTCCGGATACCGTTCCTCGGGCGGTGCAAAGGTCAGAAAGTTGCTCCAGTGCACCCAGTCCAGCCAGGAGCCAGGAGACTCTGTTTCGGTCTGGGACTCGAGCTGCGGCTGCGGCTGGGTCTGGGGCTCGAGTTCGGGCTCTGCTGTGACCAGCTCCAGCGAGGCGTCGGAGGAAGTGCCATTGCACTCCACGTAGATGGGCTGCGGCATCTCCGGACTCACCTGAGCCGCATTGATCAGACTTCTAAGGACATTCAGCAGCATGGCCCGCTGCAACTGGGAGGGAGAGCGAGGGAGAGCGATGGAGAGAGAGGGAGAGGGATTAATGAAGAGAGAACGGAACACTGGACAGGGCTGTGCTCTTACTGTGAATCCACTGCCGCAGTATAGATCCGGCATGGGCATGGACCTGCATATGGCACGAGCATTCAGCGTAAAGCGATTGGCCAGCTCCGCCTGCCGCTTGTACTTGAAGACCCGATCGCGCGTGTCCAGAAAAACGAAATGCCATTCGGTGGGTCGCTCAAATATGCCGCCCTTCTGCGCCTATCACCCGTCCAAGAGAGCCAAGAGAGCCAAGAGAGCCAAGAGAGCCAAGAGAGCCAGGAGAGCAATCAATTGAGTCCGGCAAAGGGAATGCCAGAGAACTCACCCGATCGAAGAGTGCATTCATGGCCGCACCACGGGCAAACAGGGCCACGTAGTTGGGCGTGGGCCTCAGGCCTCTAATGCGCTGCACAAAGTCCCCCCGCGGATTGTCGCTCGAGCTGGCATCGAGGATCAGCGTGCGAAAGGGATAGCCGATGATCATCTGCTGCATGGCCTCCTCGGCGTCGCGTGCATTCTGGAATACCATCGCCACATTGTTGGCTCGCTTCTGGCGCATGAAGGCGCCAAGCATCTCCAGAAAGGGCCGCAGCATCCGCTCCAGCCGCACATAGCCAATGCCCCGGGCGCGCACCAGACTGTAGCCCTCCGGCCAGTGGCTGTACGTGAGATCTATAACGATGCTGGCACCCTCGCTGGCTAAGATCTCACAGACTAAGTGCCACAGAGCACAGAGTGGAAAGGAAAGTTTACAGTGGAAATCAAGCTAATCAATCGAATCGAATCACTTTGTGGGTCTTACAGCGTTGCATATCGCTGCCATCTTTGGAGCGTGTCAATGGCATGGAGACGTCGGACACCTTGATGTCCAGGCGCATGCCCTCCAGCTCCTTGAGCACCACCACCATATCCGCATCGAACTCCGCACGCTGCAAGGGCTCTATCCAGAAGGCTGTGGGAGACAAAGCAGACTTTAGTTTGCTGTCCGCCGATCACAGGCATCTCACCGCTCACTTATCTTGAGCGGCTCCTGGGCGCTGGCCAGAGTGCAGCAGCCTGCAGTCAGTAGGAGTAGCAGCAACAGCAGCACCAACTGCACCATGATGAACCGCTTGCCTTGGGTTCTGTTACCGAATTGGCATTGCCATTGCCATTGCTACATATGTCTGACCAGCGCTGGCTGACCTGCGCTGCCATAATTGTTGCAATTATAAATGCGATACGAATGGCAGGCAGGCAGGCAGGCAGGCAGGCAGGCAGACGGCAGACGGCATGCAATGCCCATCAAAAGCGGGCAACTATGAATATTTAAGGACCGCCACAGACAAATGGCTGTGACAGGCCCCAGGCCCCAGGCCCCAGAACAAAATACAAAAAAAAAAAAAGGATTTTTAATCATTTTGATGAATCCAATTGGCTTACACTGCCGCTTGGATAGATTCTCCTTCTCGTACAGTCGCTGCATAAAAAGTTTTTGCTTCCTTTTATTCTTTGTAAATATTTGGGGAGCACAGCAAATAGCTGCAGCAGCATTAAGGACTGTGTCTTGCACAGGCCCCGTTCCATGGATATTCCAAAACAAAACAAAAAAACACCATTAAATATATATTGAAATATTTGTTTTTAATATTTAAGGAGCCCCCCTCTGTCCCAACACACAAAACCTCAGTGCTTGTGGCTTGAATTCGTTGCATAGATTATCAATTTTAATATTGAAGATGTCCCTTCCAAGTAACAAATTATTTTTGAATACAAATATTTATATGTTCTTCTTTTTTTAATATTTAATGAATACTTAAGATGTTCCCCACACAACACCCAAATGTATATTTTTAATTCGTTACCATTTTCATACCATATTCGCGTTTTTAAATTGTTTTAAATGCATAAGGAGGCGGCACTTAAAAATAAAACATTTTCTTTTTTTTTTTTAATATTTTGTATGAGTATTTCAGAAGATTGTCCAACTCCCGCCCCCAACCCAAGCCATGACACATAACATTAAAGAGTTTGGCCTGAATTCGTTCGTAATAATCGTCTATTCTTAGAAAAGAAAACAAACGCTAATATTTAAATGGTTCTTTGTTCTTTGTGCTTACAAATTAAATCAACTTTCTTTCTATAGTTCTCTATAGGTATATTTATACATCGTATCGTATCGTATCGTATCTTATCGTATCGTATCTTATCGTAAATGAAACATTTGTTATTCGCGTTATTCATGGTGAAGAATGTTTGTGTGAATATCCGTCCCGTCCCGTTCCGTCCGTCCGTACATTCCTTAGAGCTTACAAAACGAAAAATAAATACTATACAAAACACTTCATCACTTCACTTCACTTCACTTCACTTCACTTCAAACGACGGTGTGAACGCGTCTTCTATGCCCAAGTCTTAATGGGTCTATAGGTAATAATAGTTCATGGTTCGTGGGCTAATTATATGCAGGTCTACATATTGCTGGGATAAGTTCAATACAAAAAAAAAAAAAAGAAAAATATAAAAGAAAAAAAGAAAAATAAAAACATATTCTCTCTTCAGTGGAAAGCCTTAAAAATATCATCTATCTGCTGGGATGAATTTACTACATAAATCTACATGAATGTGAATGAGATGGAGCGAGGAGGGAGTGGGAGAATAATTTGTAAAAAAAAAAAAAAGGGGGGGAGCAGCACGCGCAAACCAAGTCAAGTGCCATGCAAGTGTGAGAGTATAGACTCGATATCCTCAATTTCCATGGCATCATTTACTTGATTTTCCTGCTGCTGCTGCTGCTGCTGCTGCTGCTGCTGCTTCTGCTTCTGCTGCTGCTGCTGTTCTGTGCTGCGTCTGTTGTGGCGACTTGTGGTGCTGCTTGAAAGAGAGAGAGATGACAGATATTAATGTAAAGATTCCACTTGGGAGATATTCACTTACATGGCCGCCACTTCCAGATCATTCTCATCCTGCTGCTGCTGCTGCATCGGTTCGCTGCGAGAGCTAACGAGCTTGTCCGCCACTGGCGTGGATGTGGCCATGGGCTTGCCACTGATGGCAGCTCCTGCCACTGCTGCTGCAGCTACGGCTCCACTGCTGCTGGTCAGGCGGCGTATCCGCTTCTTGGGTATATTCCGGATCGAGCTAATCGCCGGCTGCCGGCTGCTCAGGCCAAACACTATGGGACTGGCCATGCGCATCGTGTGTATCTGGTTGTCCTCCATCATGACGCGCATGTGGTAGCTCTTGAAGTAGCTGTTCGAGCGACGCCTTAGCTTCGGGCTCTTGCGCTTGGGTCCCGCATCCGCATGGACAATGCTGTAGGTGTGCCTCTCGCGGCTTCTGCTCAGGCACAGATCCAGCTCGTAGTCCGCATCCAGATCGTCCTCCTCCTCCTCCTCGTGCTCATCGTCTTCGCGCGTGGCCATCCCCAGCTGCATCTCCTGCTGCTGCTGCTGCTGCAGCTCTGGCGATGGCTGTGTGGTCTGTGCCTCGGCCACCATTGGCAGTGTGGGAACAGCCGCGGCAGCAACAGCAGCAGCAGCAGCAGCAACTCTACCCTCTGGCTGCTTCTTGGCCGCCGATGACTTGTTCTTCTTGCTGGCCGCTTTGCCATTGGTTTTTTTTGGCTTCGTTTGCTCGACATTTGGCGTCTCTTTGGGCTCGACATCCTCTGGAGCGGGCGCTGGCGTGAAAAGAAACAATTTCCAAGTGATTATCAGTAGCCCACCCTCTCGCTTCGCTTCGCGTCACTTCGCTTCCCACTTACTTTTATTGTCTATCAAACGCGATGAACGTCGCGTTGTGATCCTGGCCGGATCCGTATTTTGTGGCTTCTTGGGGCGTCCGCGTTTCTGTGGCGCTGGCTGTGCGGCAATCTCCATCACTTTACGTGCCACATTCACCCTCAATTTGGGCATCTTTGGCACTGGACTGGCTGCTGCTGTTGCTGCTGCTGCTGCTCCCGAGTAGGAGCAGGACCAGGGCTCCTGCTTCTTGGCTGACAGATTCAGTGCGTACAGCAGGGGATCCAGATTCCGTTCAGGCATCGATTGTGTGGGCGTGGGCGGGGCTTCTTGTGTAGATGTTGGGAGATCGTGTGCTGTGGTTGCAGGAGCTGCTGTTGCTGCTGTTGCTGCTGCTGCCTTCTTCTTTGTCGTCATGTTTTTGGGCTTCTTTTGTACGGGCGGATTTGCCTGCTGGGCCGTCTCCCGCATGGCTGTCAGCTTCTTGGGCTTCGTCTTCTTTGGCGCTGCCTTGGCTGGCGGATGCTGCTTCACCTTGGCCACAACGCGCTCCCGCTTCTCGAGCAGCAGCTGCTGCATTTGGTCGCTCATCTTCGAGGACGAGGACGGCTGCTCCAGCTGCAGCTCCGACTGTTGCTGCTGCTGTTGCTGCTGCTGCAGCTGCAGTCGCTGATTCAACTTCTCGGCGGAGCGCGGCGGCAGTGTCAGTTTGATGGTCCTCAGTGGAGAATTGACAGGAGTTGGACTAACTGCGGCACCGGAGGGTGCAACAAGGGAGGCTGCAGGCGCCACTAGAAGCTGCGTAAGTGGCGGGCGATCCTTGCTGGGCGTCAGCCAGTTCCTAATGGGGTACCGCACCTCCCCGTCCTGGCTGACCAGCTGCCCCGGCTGGCTATCAACGGCCAGCGGCTGGGCCATCGCTGCCGCCTTCAGCCACTCCTCGTCCTCGGTGCTGCTGATGTTCGACAGATTGTCCAGGCTGAGTCGCACTGCCACTGCCACTGCCTGCCGGCTGTCAGCCGCAACGCCGTTGCTCGCCCGCTGCTGGCTCCTCCTGCTGCCCTGCGACGAGGACGATGATGTAGAGGAGCCCGAGGAGGACGTTGAGCTGCTGGAGGAGCTCGAACTGGAGCTGGACGAGGACGAGGAGCTGGAAGAACTGGAGCTGCTGCATGCCTCCTCCACGACGGATTCGGGCAGGCCGGGCATCAGTTTATAGTGGGGCGGTGGCGCCTCCATTTGCTGTTCTAGTGCCAGGGACAGGGCGGTGGCCGCCTCGATGCTGTCCACCGCATCGCTGCCAAAGGAGCGCACGCGTCGCAGCACAGTCGGCTCGATGGCCAGACGCTCGGCGCACAGCTCCACGAAGCTGAGCACTGCATCATCATTCGGATCAAGCTCTTCCTGCACGACAACTTCCTTGGGGGCTGCTTCTGTTTCTGTTTCTGTATCTGCTGCTGCTGCTGTTGCTGGTTCTGGCTGCTGCTGCTGCTGCTGCTGCTTTTGTTTCCTCCCAATCCTCACGCTGATGGATGGCGCACTGCGCATTCGCATCCGTATGCTCGGCCTCGTCCGGCCGATAGTAGCTGCTGCCCGACGAGTAATCCGTTTTGGCGGCACTGCCCAGCGGAGTGCCCGCCGGCCCATGGCCAAATGGTGTCATGCGGAAGCCGGGCGTTATGGCGCTCATCTGTGGCGTGTCCATGATGCTCTTTGTGTCCGAGCCGAACAGAAACGAGCTGGTGGGCAGCTTGCCATAGGGCGTGTCCAGCGGCGGCAGTATGGCCATGCCACCGGGCGTGGGCGGCACACCCAGCGAGCCACCATGTGCGGGGCCCATGCTGCTCAGCGAGCCAATGGGCGGCTGCTTGAAGGGCGTATCCAGCAGCATGGCCATATTGGCGGCTATTTCATCGGCCTCCTGATTTAGCATGAAGGGAGCTTCTGCAGGCTCTTTCCCTACGACAGGAGCTGCTTCAGTGGCAGCTGCTGCTTCTGTGGCTTCAGTGGCTGCTGCTTGCTTCTTATCCTTCTTGGCCTTTGGCTTTTGGGGCGTCGTTATCTTAATGCTAACACCACCGCCGCCACCGCCGCCCGTTTCTGGCTGCTGCTTCTTGGCTTTGCCGGGCCTGCCCTTGGGCTCCGGCTTGGCCCTGGCCTTGGGCTGGGTCTCTGGCTTGGCCTTGGCCTTCGCCTTGGGCTGTGGCTCCTTCTTCTTTCTGGTGGTGGGCGTCACCTTGCGGCGATTGCGTGTTTGCTTCACACTGGACGGGGGCGCCTCGTCCTGTTGCTTGGCATTGATCTCGCGCAAGCGATTCTCCAGCTCGCTGCTGGAGCCAATCATCTGGCGCTGCCAGGCAGCCAGCAGATCCTGGCCCGCATCGGCTTCGCTCACATCCGGCGGCTGATTCTGTTGGTTCTCCTTGCCGGCCTCGGCGCTATCATTGGCCTCCAAGCAGCTGGCGGGCGTCGCTCCAGCCTCCACCTGCCCCTCGATATCCGTTTCGCTTGGTGGCGCCGCCGATGCCGTGGGTTCCGCCTCCAGTGCGGGTGCCTGGGCGATGATCCGCTTGCAGGCATTCACCGCCGCCTGACGTTTCTGTTTACGCTTCGGCGTCACAGCGGCCATGGCAGGTGGCGCTGCCGCTGCCGCTTCCGCTGCTGCTGCTGCTGCTTTTTGTTTGTTTATTTTCTTGGCCGATGAGGCCCTGATCACCGTCTGATTGCTGCACTCTTCCATCGCGAACAGCGGCGGCACGCCATGTCCCAATGTGTCATTGGCACTCACATCGGACATGGAAACGGGCGCCAGGGCCGGGCCGGGCAGTGCTGGTATTATTTCCACATTATTGATCACGGGCTTCTCGTTGGCCCTGCCCAGCCTGCGTGTGGACAGCGGTGTATTGGCGATGCTGTTGCTGCTGCTGCTGGGATTCTGTGGCAGTGGGTGGTGCGGCACTTTCGGGGAGAATGTCAGCGTGCGGACGTGGGAGGTGCGCTTGCGGGGCGTCGACAGACTGCGGTAGGCCTTCACATTGATGATGCCCGATGTGGAGGGTGTGGCCCGTTCGATGACCGTGCGGGAGGAGTCCAGCGAGGCGGGTGGGATTGCAGCTGCTTGCCCTGCCAGATGATGCTCCTCCTCCTGCTGCTGCTGCTGCTGCTGCTCCTCCTGCTGATTGCTCTCTTCTTCTACTACTGCTGCTGCTGCTGCTGTTGGTGGCTGCTTCTCTTCCTCCGTTGCTGGGGGGACTTCATCGATTAGCTGGCTGGGCGGCTGCTTTTGGGCGCTGTTGATGATTATCGCATTGGGCGGCAGCTGATCGGCCGTAAATGTAATGGGCTCCGGCAGGGAGATCTCAATGTGCGAGTCCTCGGCATTGGCAAAGGCATCCGGGCCCAGCTGCTGGGCCACCCACTCGTTGTTCACCAGAAACGGCAGATGCGACAGCATGCCACCGTTCGAGTAGAACATGGGAAAGGTCAGCTGTCCGGTGGTGGCGTCCACGCACACCTGACCCGCGGCGGCGGCCTCTGCCTCGCTCAGGATGGCCCCAGGATCGAAATTCAGGTTTAGATTCTCACTGGCAAAGCTCACATTGGTGGACGCAGTGGCGGTGGCCATCTTCTGGACGCTCTCGTTCGAATTGAAGACAATCAGCTTGGAGATGGAAAAGTTGGGATCATCACAGGCATTGGCCGCCACAGCAGTGCGTATGATTAGCGGCGTTTGTGGTGGCTCTGGCTCTGGCTCAATCTCTGCCTGTGCCTGTAGCTGTGCCTCTGGCCCTGGTGGAGGAGCTGCCGCTGCAGCTGCCGCTGCCGCTTACTTCCTCTACATCATCGGCACCGACCACCTCCTGGATGATGCGATCGAATGAGGGATCCTTCTCGGTGGCCTCCAGTATGTTGCGCACCAGGCCATCCAGGATGGCATCACAGCTAACCGTGGGATTGTTCACCGTCACCGTCTGCAGTGCCACATTGATGTTGTTGACCAAAGTCTCGCGGAAGTCGGGATTATTGATGATGGCCGTTGTTAGCTCCTGTGCGGCAAGGGAGAGAAATGGCATTAAATGTTATCCAGAGACTGCCTGCCTCCCCTTACGGGCACTTACGGGCATTGATTGTGGGGTCAGCATCAGCTGGAAGGGCTCCGCCTCGCCCTCGGCATAGGGTTCGGGTTCGGGCTCGGGCTCGTCGTTCTTCTGACGTGGCGTGGAATTGTTGCACGGCTCCAGCGGCATTTGCTCTTCTCCAATATCCTCGCTGGATGTGCTGCTCTCCAGCTCCTGCTCCTCATCCTCCTCCTGCTGCTGCTGCTGCTGCTGCTCTTCGTCGTCGTTGTCCCCTTGGCTGGCCAGAAAGCTGCTTATGTGCGACTTATCGCGGTTGAGACTGCAGCAAATGTAGGGCGGCAGCAGCCGCGGACGCTTGCTTAACGTGGGCGATGGCGAGGAGGCTGCCGGTGATTGTGTGCGTCTGAAATTAAACGCTTGCCGGTTGAGAATCTCTGGCACCGGCCGCCCTACCCAGTCTCTACTTACATGCGTCTCCTCTTGCGTTGCGCGTGGCTGCTGGCCTGGCTGGGTGTGCTGGTGGTTGCCGCTCCCGCTGCTGCTGCTGGCTTGCTGCGATCCATGTTCATCAGCTCAAAGACACGCTCGGATAGCTTGAGCTGTTGCAACTGCTGGCGCATTTCCAGCGGCAGCTTCTGCACAGTCTGAGCCACTGGGGGGAGCATAAATAGGTTAGCTGTGCTGCGAGCAGACGCGAGCGCTGTGCAATCCGCTTACCCAGTCCAGTGATCTTGACATGCTCGCATATGATGTCCTCCAGGCCGCCATTGAGAAAGTTGTGCGTCTGCAGGCCCTGCTTCAGGGCAACGAATTCCTGCCGCAAATGCGGCGATGTGCGGCACAGTGTGTGAGCGGCCCTTTTCAGATCCTGATTGACCAGGTAACCTGAAAGCCAAGCCACAAAAAAAACACCCACACAAAAAGATCAGCATAATTACAAGTGTTTTGCGGGCGGGATGTAAACAGTAAACAGTAAACAGAGGCACTTACCCAATACCAGGCGAGCCACATCCGAGTGCAAAACAATTGATTCCATGTCTGCTGCGCTGCTCAGCGGCACATGCTTGCAACACACTCTGAATAAACGCCAATGTATAAAATAAACGCTTGTTTGGTTTGGACGCCTCTTCCTCTTTTCCTTCTTTGGCTCTCCGCTTTGCCGTTGCTTTCGCTTGGCTTGCCTCTCGTTTTGTTCGATACAACTGTGTTATCGCTTTTCAGCACAGTGTAGTCAGTGCTGCCAGCTTTGCATCAGGAAAAAAAACAACCGTTTATTGGACAAGAGACAAAAAGTGCTGAAAAATGCTGCAAATTTCCAGAAACATTAGGTTTACAGCAAGTATGCGCTGTTATTATCCCATTTTCCCGTTCAATTTCTGCAATATTTTCAACTCTAAGGTGGGCCCCAAAGTGTCGCTAATTCCATTAGCGCACAAGATTTTGCTGACAGGTAAACTTTTTGCAAGCAAGCCGCTTATTGCACTTGTGGTTGTGATTTTGCAATAGCTGCAGTACAGTTATGCTCATCTGTGTCAACCCTTGAACTTGGCTTATGGTATTTTGGCATTTCGAACATGTTCATAAATGTTAAATCCACATTTGGTATAGAGATAATAGTTTGCTTAAAACTTAAAACAACCCTGCCAATATTAAAAGAACGCGGTAAAAATCCAAACGAATTTTTAAAAAAATCAAGAATTCCCGCTTGCCGCAAAATCAACATTTTTCCCGCAGGTGATCTTCAAAAACAGCCTGATTTGACGGGAAAAAAGCGAAGTCGGCAGCACTGGCATGTCACAACGGTTAACATTATGTACATGCTATGTTAAGATACTTTTGTATTTTGGCAAAATATTCGCATAGTTATTTCTATTTGGTTAATTGCATTTAATGGCAGCCAAGGCCACAGTCAGTGATAAGGACGAGGGGGGCCAGGAGCCAGAGAAGGCAGCCCCCAACGATAAAATCGAGCCGAGGGATGCCAAGGAAGCAGATGCAGAGTCCAGTGAGAGCCCGGCGAAAAGAGATGCCGCCGCCGCGGCCGCCGCAGCCGCCGCCAGTGGGCGCAAACGTAAACGACATTTGTATAATTCCATTCGCAGCCAAATGGAGTTTTATTTTGGCGATGCGAATCTAACCAAGGATCGCTTCCTGCGACGCTACGTGGACCAGGATCCTTGTAAGTGGCACACAGCACAAGCACGCTTATTCGCGGCTGATTTTCAACATTCTTGACTTGACTTGACTTGACTTGACAGATGTCCCCCTGGAGATCTTTCTCACGTTCAACAAAATGAAGCCCCTCGCCCAGGATGTGCAGCAGATAGCCAAGGCATTGAACAACTCCCAGCTGCTGGAGCTGGATGAGAGCGGCCTGAAGGTGCGCCGCAAGACCAAGCTGCCCGACCAGCGGGATGTCAACGACAGGACGCTGTATGTGGAGGCATTGCCGGCAAATGCCAGCCACGATTGGCTGAAGGAGGTCTTCAGTCGCTATGGCCCGGTGGCCTATGTATCGCTGCCCCACTATCCGGGCACCAAGAAGATCAAGGAGTTCGCCTTCATCGAGTTCGAGCGCAGCACGTCCCTGGAGAAGGCGGTCAAAGCCTTTGCCCAGGTCCAGGGCGTTCTGTCCCTCGACACAGATCCAGCCGTTTTGGCCAGCGTGCGCTCATTCCAGCAACAGCAGCAGCAGCAGGCCAAAAATGTTGATGCATCGCAGGAGGATGCCACCAAGCGGGGTCGCAAGAGAGACGCCCCGTGCAGGGCCAAGGAGGAGGGCCATCATCATGATATTAAGCGTATAAAGCTGGAACAGCAGCCCAGCGAGACGTCCACGGCCGAAGAGACTGCCAGTGAATCGGACCAGGAGGCAGCCTCAGCCGCGGAGGAGGAGGCGTCCTCGCAAGATGATCAAGCAGCTGGCGAGGGCGCTGGCGCAGGCGCGGGCGCGGGTGGGACTGATGCTGATGCCGACGAGGCAAAGAAGCGTCGCCGCAAGCGCAAGAAGAAGGCCATCATAGACAAGCCCAACATTGATCGCTCTGCCGTTGAGCTGAAGGTTCTGCCAAAGGCCAGCTGGTGCAGTCTGCGCAACAAATATCTCAATCTGCAGCGTCGCCTGGTCGGCGAGGCCAAGGCGAAATTGTGGCGCGAGTCGCAGCAGCAGCAGCAGCAGCAGCTGGATCCCAATCAGCCGCGCAAGCGTACACCCATGCAGGCGGCGGGCAGCCAACAGCTGTCGGAGACCAAGACTAACATCACAAACGCGAGCGTTGGCGGCGTCGTCGTGGGTGGGGAGGAGGGGGAGCCGCTAAGCGATGTCGATGATGGCGGTGGGGCGACGGAGGCTAGCGTGCCCGTGCCGCCAAAGCGTCGCAAGGCAGTCCACAAAATGAACATGAATTTCTATGGTGCCGGTGGCGGGGAGACGGAGGACAGTCGCAGTGCCGTCAGCACCGAGGATCCCTCCCAGGAGCGCACGCCGCTCTTTAAGTACGAGCCGGGACTGATTGTCGAGTGCATCCTGCATGAGCCGTGCACCAATATCAAAGAGTTCAAGGCAGATATGCGCCAGTATACGGATATCAAGTACGTGGACATTAAGGAGGGCGATCTGGCGGCCACGTTGCGCATGGCCACGCCCACAGCCGCCGAGGATCTGGTGCGCCAGCTGAGCTGTGCCGAGCGGCAGCTGAAGGTGCTCGATGGCCAGGCGGAGACGCAGTACTGGCGCAAAATTGAACAGGATCGCGAGGCGAAGCTCACCAAAAAGGTGCGCGTACAGCAGAAACGTGGGCGCGAGAAGGTCTCTAAAATGCTGGCCAAGCATACAAAATTCGATGATACCGATGACGATGTGGCTGCGCCTGTGCCTGTGCCTGTGGCCAGTTGCGAGCCATCCTCTGGGGCGCCAACAGAGGCATAGTTCCCTGCCATATAGCTTCGTTTGTCGCAAAGCAATAAATGTGGTTGGATTTGTTGCTTATATTCTATGCATTTGGCTAACAAACAGACAGTCGTTCTTAAAGCTATAGATTAGATCCCACATATGTATATGTACATCTCTTAAATGTAGAGCGAGCCATCGGCTGGGCCCAAATAGTGCATCGATATGAGCAGAACATCGATGATGGTCCAAACGCCGAGGCCTCCGAAGCTGAACAGCTTGCCAATGCCCTCCTGCCAGTGGCCCAAATAGAAGCGATCGGCCCCAAATCCGCCCAGGGTGAGGCTTATCAGGAGCGCTGTGCTCCAGCGATAGCCCTGCGTCCAGTTGCATTTTAGATTGCGTGTAAACGAACGATTGCCCAGACAGAGCACATCCTGGTGGACGGTGCAATTGGTGCGATAGAATTTATTGCAATTGGCACGCTGCAGGCAGCTCTGCTGCCAGAGCTCCGTCTGGTAGCAGTAGCGGCAGCTCATCTGGCGCTGAAAGCTGCGCTCGCCCTGGCACTGCACGTTGGTGATGGCCTCGCAGGTGACGTTCACCTCGCGTCCATAGAAGCAGCCATAGTTGTAGCTGCATCGGATGCAGGGGAACTGCAGTCGGTCGCAGGGCGTCTCTCTATCGAATGGACACAGCATGTTGTTGTTGCTGCTGCTGCTGGTGTAGGTGGTTATGTTATCGATGGATCCACTGGAGGATGATGATGATGATGATGTCTTGGATACCATATTGCCCAGGGCGGGCATAAATACTTCGTTGTCGTTGTTATTATTATTGCTGGCGTTGCTGTTGTCCTTGTGATCGCCCTTTGCATCGGATAGATCCATTTGGTTGCCACCGCTGGCCGTCTCGCTGTTCTTGATGCCGTTTAGCACGAATATAACGATGAGCGCTATCGCGGAGCGCCTATTCACGACAATGCATTGACGTTGTGGTCTCATTTTGATCAACAAATCTTCGAAGGAAATTTAGTTGAATTGTTTTGCTATTCATGGACAGAGAACACTTAACCCGTTGTCGACCAGTGGGTATTTAAATATACACACCAATATTATGAAACTTGAAAACAATTTTAGCCCAGTTTAGGTGAAAGATATCGCAGTCATTATTGTTTCGTAAGCAGAGAGGAAGGTTCAATCTACGAGATAAATTCAAAAACAGCATTATTTTCTGCGGCTTAGCTCAAAGTGTTCACCTGTTCAAATAGAGCTGGGTTAAGTGGGTTAAGTTCGTTCTTTTTCTTGTTACATTTTAACGATACGTGGTCACACTGTATCTTGGGCTTACCGATAAATTGTGCAAATACGGCGGCGGCGGCGGCGGAAATTAAGTTATTAATAACATGTCGCACTCAGGCAACAACAATGTGCAACGTCTGCATGTCAATAGGCGTCTGCACAAGATGGGGCACACATACAAACACCCATTTCCCAAATTCGGTTTGCCGGAATGCTTTGGGATCTACAGCATGAACGCCCAGAGGGAGTTGGAGGATAATGCAAGCAGTGCCAATTACCTGTGGACGCCGCCAAAGGAATCCTTACCCATGGATCTAAAGGCCGGCTATGAGCGCGTCATACGCAAGACAGATCAGTCGGGAATTAAAGATTTGGGACAGCTTCTGAAGTACATTTACAACCATCAGCAGCTGCTGACAGCGACCGAGTCCAAGTCGCTCTCATTGCACGCAGACTTTGTAGTCCTTCGCGGCGTTCTTCGGCTGCTCATGTGCATGCCGTACGAAACGAAGGACGATTTATGCGTGCGTGCAACCATGCTCAATGGCACCATTTACATTGCCAAAATGGATACCGATCAGCAGCGCAAGGAAGAGCTAGCTAGCACTGAACGCTTCAAGGCCATGTGCTCTTGGGGCTTCAAGTTCGAGCAGTACATGTTGTCGTCGGCGCCCAATACTGCGCCCGACACCAGCCTCCCCGTGAATGAGGGCGTGGAGTTCACTGCAGTGTTTCGCTGCTCCTTGCAGGGAATGCGTTTGCTCTATGGTGCCGAAATGGATGGCATCATCAGCAAGGATCCTATGTTAGTTTACAAATATTCATATTCATATTCGTATATTTTGATGCCATTTAATATATGTACATATATTAATATTTCAGCAATTTCAATGATCCGCAAGCCCTCAAGCACGTACAGTTTGTGGAGCTGAAGACGGGCCCCTTGGATGCCACGAGCCGCCAGAAGCGCTCATTCAATTTTTTTAAATCGCGCAACTGGTGGAGTCAATCATTTCTGGTCGGCATCAAAACCATTATAGAGGGATTGCGCGATGATGACGGCATGTGCCACGACATTGTGCATCACGATGTGGCACAATTGGCACGCAACAAGCCCTGGAGTCCAGCGGCCATGTTCATATTCCTAGAGCAGTTTCTCAAGGAGCTGAAAAAACTGCTCGAGGCCATCGATGATCCACAGGCTGTGGTCGAAATTGAGTTCCTGCCGCACTCCGATAGCGTCTACTATCGTGTACTCAGGTCGGCCGAAGATCAAATAATACCCGACTGGTATCGCACTCTGATGAAGGGCGAGACCTAAATGAACGAAAACGGAAACCCCAAACGCTGCCCCCAACGCCAAAAAGGTACAAGTAGCCCTTAAGAGCAAACAAACGAAAGTTATAGTTTCTGTGAAGCATTCACAAGTCCTCTCGATTTGTTGTCCATGGAAGTTTGTCGCTTGTCTCTATCTCGCATATTTCAACTGAAATATTTACTATTTGATAATAAAGTGTTTATGTACAATATATATATAACATTCCATTCCATCAGTCACTTGAGGTCGCTGGTCTCTAGGAGCGGCACACCTCTGCCCGCATCAATGGAGCTGCTGCTGCTGCTGCCGCTGTACAGCGTGTACTCTGGCGCTTGTGTGGCCGTGGTGAGGGGGCGGCGTCTGTCTGCCAATGCCGTTGCAGATCCGCCATAATAATGCGAGCCACAGCTGCCACTGGATTCACGCTTCTCGATGACACAGTCAAAGAAGCGTGATAGCTTTACGGCATCTGTGGTGCCGGCGGCTAGACTGCGTGTGTCCCTGCAATTCAGCCAGATCTCTTCGGCGCCGCATTTGTCAGCTTAAAAAAACAAAAACAAACGGAGTATATTTAAAATGGGAATGCAGAGAGCAAACGATAGAGATAGAGGGAGACGAGACGAGACCTATGCCACCAGCCTTTTTCAAAGCAGTCTTGGGCTGACGCTTCTCATCGATGAGATCGAGCTTGGTGCCCATCACCAGTATGGGGGTTTGTGTGGCGCCCAGGAACTCCTCCAAGTCGAAGCGGACGTGCGAGCACGAGTCTGTGGAATAGTTGGCCAATGGGGATGGCGGCATTGAGCTGGCACGCGACTTGTACGTGTCCTTGCCCTCCTTGTTGAGTATCTCGTGCAGCCAGTCGAGCAGCTGCTCCTGCGACTTGCCATTCGTCAGATCATGGACCAAGATAATGCCATGCACACCGGAATAGAAGACGCCGCGAGTATTCTTGTGGCTCAGCGAACCGCCAATATCGAAGAGCTCCACGAAATACTGGCTCTGGCGGGCCGTGCCCTCCTTGAACTGATGGATCTTCACTTGGATGTTGCAGCCCACCGTCCAGCCGGGACGTGTCAGCGACTCATTGTGGGCAATCAGATGCGTCAGGCAGGTCTTTCCCACCCCTATCCAAGGGCATTACATCAATTAGTTAGTTCTCAATTGGATTAGTGTACTGGACGCAAATAAATACCTGAATCGCCGACAATAACAATACGTACACGATTGTTGGCCATATTTGTTTTGTTTACATTGGCATCGGCGACTGTCGATAGCATATACCGAAATATACCGTAAATATACCGAGGAAAAAGAACAAACTTAACCCACTTAGCCCCGATATATTTAGACAGGTTAACACTTTGAGTTAAGCCGCGGAAAATAATACATTTTGTGAATTCTTCTCGTAATATTTCATGCTAGCTGGGACCCCCAGCACTCAAGACATATCTTTATCCGATGAATGAATACATTTTCTACAAAACTGGCTAATTTTTTATGGTTACTCCCATTTATTGGGATTGCTTACAAAATATAAAACAAAAAAACAATCAATCGATCCTGTCCGGCGGTTGCGCTTGGACTTGATCTTGCTTTCCATCATCATTCCTTATTACGACCACGCCCTTGCTTAGGACCGCCCCCAAGGTCCTGCTTGCCGTCTCCGCATAATTCGTTACGACCGAGTCCTTGCGGATTCGCGCATCCCTTAACACTCGGCTTGGGGATGTCCTTCTCGACTTTCACCACGCGAATGAACTTGTACTGGGATAAGGAAAGATAAAAGTTGTGACTGTGAATCCACGAATCACTCACGCTGTACGTCTTGGCGAATTCGGGATTCGAATTGGACTCGTGAATCTTGTTGGATTCCCCCCTCACATTGCGCTCTGCGTTTTTCTTCTCGCTGCGCACCTTTTGGACCTGCAACCGTGACGCCTTCTGCTGCTCCCAGAAACGGCTGAGCCCCGTTGGCTCCACCTCGGATTGGCCGTACTGCTCCTCAGAGTCCTCGTCATCGCACAGCGTCGAACGGTCGCTCGATGGACCGCTGCGCGGGGACGATAAATCGCTGCGCGGAGTCATTTCCGGGCTGGTGACTTGCCCGCTAATCTCGGGAAAGGGAACAATGCAGAGACGCAGAGACACACAGCAGAAACAAAAAACATACTCTTTGTGATCTTCTTCGTTCGTTTCCGGATGTTCATTAGGAATGTGCGTGTGCGTGTGGGAGTGGGAGACTTCCGTGCCCTTGATTGACTCCACGACGGATTGGCTATCGTTTTCCTCTTTCGTCTGTTCCTCTTTCATTTGGCTTGAGTTCGGTTGTTCCTCTGCCGTTTGGCTTGAGGCCTGCCCTTCCTTGTCAGTGGCCTTGTGGCTGTCGATGCTCTTTAGTTGATTGGTGAGCTTAATGTTCATCTCTTCGGCCCTGAGGCGTAGTGTCCGCTCGCAGGACAGCCGCTGCTCGAGCTGCTTGGTGTTCGAGCGCAGCTGGCTAATAGTGAACTTCTGGCCCTTGGGCAGACTCTGCAGCCCGTCAATGCAGCTGAGATCGTACTCCGGCTCCTGTTTCTCCTCGACGTCTGGGCTGCCCAGGTGGTCGCGAATGTTGCGTTGCAATAGCTGGCTGATCCCCTCGTTGCCTCGCACATTGAACTCCTTTATGGCACGGTTCAGGGCCAGGCAGTCGAGTACGACATTGGCTGCAATGTCAGTCAGGCCACAGCCCTGCATGTCGACGACTGCAGGCATCGGAGGAGATTTGAGTGTGGACTCAAGGCATGGGCCATGCATGTTCATCGCACTTACCCTTTATCCAGGCATCCTCCTTCAGCGCCTCGGCGATGCATTGGAGTCCCGGGTCTCCAATGTCAGGATTGTTGGCGAGAAGGAGCGTGCCCAAGCCCAAGATGGACTGCTTCCATCCCTCTGTGCATGGGGCTGCCTTTTTGATCTGCGGGGGATACCAAGCATTACGATGCCCGATGTACTGGAACCCTTTAGCTTCGATATACCGATACCTTGATCATTTCGGCCACGTGAACGGCTCCCTTTGCGCTGATGCGACACTCGGAGAGATCGAATAGTGCGATTCGGTTGAGGTACTTGGCCGAGTTGCACACCAGCTCGCACCCCTTGTCCCCAATGAGGGACCTGCGGAAGCTCAAGGTCTCCAGGCCAGTGTTGGCCTCCAGCGACTAGAAGCAATGACACACAATGAAGGGTATTAGAATGATGAGATGATGGGTGCGCGGCCCACCTTGGCAATGCAGTCAATGTAGCCGTCATAAAGGGGCACACCCTCCAGCTGCAGCACTGTCAGATTCTTGTTGCTGGCCACACAGTTGGCGATGGACTGGACGAGGCCGCGGAAAATAAAGCGCGTGTATAGCACCGGACGCTGTGTGAAGAGTCGGGCCCGATTCTCCGTGTCGATGGGATCGATTGTATCTGCATGGGAAAAGTGCCTTAGTCCCGCAGTCCCTTAGTATTGCGACGACTCTTTCTACTCACTGTGCTCGTAGGAGCGCCGCATGCGCACCAACAGGCTCTTCAGGCACTGGTCACTGTGCAGCGCCTCCGTAATCTGCAGCCAGTCGCTCACGTTCAGCTTGTCGGCGCAGAGCTCCAGAGCGGTGATCTCGTCGGAATTCTTTCGGATCTCTGGAACAGGTGTGAGGTTTTTCGCTCTACACAACTCCAAATACCGAAAGTAGAAGGAGCGGCTCTTGCTCGATTTTTTTACCAGTGCCGGCACCGTTACCTTCCTCACCTTCCCCGGCACACGGCTGTGCGACATGTTCGCTTTCTGTTCGATATGCTCGGAATGTGATTGCACAGTCGAATGGCAAACAGTCGACTCAATATTCAAAGCCAGCAATGGCTTTCAAATATGTCATGTTTGTTTTGTTTTGTTTTGTCTTGTTTTGTTTTTCTCAACAAAGCGTCTAAAACAGGGATGATATTCACATGGGTCGCCATTGTGAACGCGCAATTATCGATAGGCAAATATTTCAAATGAAGTTGAAGAAAACTTCAACTTTGTTTAGCTATATCTTAATGTATATCCATTCTATCGACACGAATTAACATTCCTATGAAAGGTCATGTAATTCTCTTTTTAGCCCAGTATTAAAATCATTCGTGGATAATCGCGCTGCTAATGCAACGAAATTTTTAAATTTTTGAAAAAATCTTTTTGGGGTTTATTGCAAACGAGTGGGACCCAACCAACCCCGGGAGCAGACTTTATTGTCGAGATTCTGACAAATTTCGAAGTCGGCGGGAATGGCCGAACGCTCTGCCCTGCTCGTAATCCAACCACAACCAAAGTTGCGCGCCAGGGCCGCGGCGCTATTGCTTCGGTTCAGATCGTGTTTGGAGCCCTGCAAAAATGATCCAGAGTTGCGTTCCTTTTTCTGTTGTTGCAAGCGCGTTTGCAATATTTATTTAATGTTGCATATACATACATATGGGTAGGTGTATATACGTCATGTGTGGGTGTTTGTGTGTGTGTGTAAATTAAATTGTTTTTGTGGTACAAAAGTTATAACAAAATAAATAACAAGAAATTATTTAATACATATTACTCAAAGATACATTATATACTCGTAATGCAATCGCTGCACGCAATCGCTGCATCCCTGCCACGATTGGCATACATTTTGGTTTACCAGGTGACGTCCCGTCCCGTCCCCATTTCCCCATCCTCCTCCTCCTCCTCCCATCAGACCCACAGGGCAAGGGAAGTGGGATGCGGTATGCGGCGGTATGCGGGGGACTGAACTTAAACTGAACAGAACAGAAGTGGCTGAAGCGGATGAAGATGTACATACATAGAACATAGATGAGATGCCAAGCCAAGCCAAGCTCAGACATTGGTGGGCGCATCCATGCCACAGATGACCGACTTGACCACCGCTGCCGCCGAAAGGGCGGCAAAGTTCTGCCACTTGCGGGTGGACATGCCGTCCTTGTAGTCGGATATGCCCTTGACCAGAACGAAGCTCTCGCGGCAATTGCCAATAATGCTGTCCAGGACGCTGCTCATCTCGACATCGGTGGCCAGCAGGCCGTACTTGCGGGCGAACTGAGTGCGCAGATCATCGCTGCGCACGAGATCGCGACCGGAGCCAATCGGGCCGAGATGCAGCCGCAGGCGGGGCACACCGTTCACCTCATCGGCGGCAATGGGATGGGCCACCTCGATGACCTCGTTGTTGCCAATGTTCATGAAGAGCTTGTCCGTCCGGGAGTCCGGCCGGCCAAAGTCGCTCTCCGTCTTCTGGGCGAGCGTCTGCTGGGCCTGGCCCAGATAGCTCTCCCACGGCCGCTTCAGCTCCATGTTGGCCTGCAGGCTCTCGGCGATATGCTGCAGCGAGTCATTGACCGGGAAATATGTCTTCACATCCTCGCCGCTCTTGTACAAATACACGTACGGTTTCTCCTTGCTGCTGTAATTCGATAATTTAATCACTCCCGACTGAGACTCTGAGAACCACGTACCTGTTGCTTAGGAGGGCCCGCTGCTTGTCCACATACGAGATGACCACATCGCCCAGCCGCACATGCTTCTTGTAGTCGGTGTAGTGCGGCACACCGCCAGCGACGCCCACAATGAACACAAAGTCCACCTTCTGGAATGTGCCCAGGAGCCGTGTGGTCGTATTGCCCGTGGCAGTCATCGCCTCCCTGGTGCTGCCCACCGACGGCAGCTTTGTGCTCACTATCCGATGTGCCCCGATGTTGCCCAAGGTATAGACATTCGATTCGCCTGCGCAGAACGGGAGAGAATAAGCTCAGTCAGTCAATGGTCACACAAATTACACATGGGCTGGGCTGGGCACTGGGTGCTTCGATTTGGTACAGGTTGAAGTGCGTGACCAGAACAATCAGTTCACCCCACAAACAAACAAATGACACAAATATCATCATGGAGTACATGTCCCTGTCCCTCTTCCCAGGACAATCCTTTGCCATAACAACACAACACACAAAAAACAAACACGAAAACATGGAAATAAAAACGCAACAGAGAACAGAACACAGAACAGAACGAAGCGCACATTATCCACTTATATGTAGGAGGTGCATACGCACATATTGTATGTTGATCTGAGGCCAAGTTTTTACCTCCAACTGCAATTGGGCAACACACAAATATTCGTAGGATACGTACGTGTACGGACACGCACACGTAAGTTTCTCTCAAGTTTAAGCCAGGCTCCAAGTTCATGTGCGTATATACAGATAGAGATTTATGTGTAGTACCCCCCATATACCGCATGCACAAATTGAGCTTAAATTAGGGACATTCTTGGCCTCGATTTGGGTGCAACAGAAAGCATTTAAGTGCACATAAATGTGGGTTGGGTGGGTTGTTGAGTGTGGCTTGGACTTGTGGACTTGTGGACTTGTGTGTGAGGTTCTTCAATGGCTTACCAAATCTGCGTTTCTTTTTGGATTTTCTTAGGGTGTTCGTTAGATTGGGATCGGAATCTGTTACGGGTTGGTTATGTGGTTGGGTATAGGTGTCGAATTTGGGGGTGGGCAGGCAGATTAATGTGGTTGGTCGTGTGTCGCGCAGTCGTCGGGGGCAAGCCAAAAAACCAGCAACGAAATTTGATGCAAATTCATTCAATTGTTGCGTAATAGTTTCACGATGATAAAGGGTTGCCGCCCCGTGTCGTGGTTAGGTTACGATTAAGAGTGGGTGGCGGAGAGAGAGGGAGAGAGAGAGGGAGAGAGAGAGAGAGAGAGTTAAGATATTATTAGTGAGGAGCTTGGGGATGTAGAAGGATTAAATTGTTTTAGCAGCATTCTATGGATCCACTATCAATGGGTCGATTGGTCGATTGGTCGATGGTCGAGCCCCGCCGCACACCTACCCACTGTGGTGTAGCGAACGAAGGTCTCCTTGTTCTCGAGCATCGCATCCACCGCCAGCTTCTCGCAGTACTGCGCCGTAATGATGGCAATCGTCGGCTGCTTGTTGGACGCTATCGTCGGCATCTGCTTGACCACCTTGATCTCCTTGTCCTCGTGGTGGATGCGGGTGTAGGCATTGTACTCCATCGACTTGATCAGGCCACGGTCCTGCAGCGACTGTATGACCAGCAGCACATCCTGCTCGCTCCATCCGTAATCCCTGCGGCAAAACAAAACAAAAATGTTATTTCAGTTTGCCCCACTGGCTGATAGTAGGACACACTCACTTGGCCAGATCCTCGGGCGAAACGGGATTGGGATAGGCCTGCTCGATCAGCTCGAGCACCTTTTCCTGTGTCAGCGGCGGAGATTCAAACTGCGATTCCTCGAGTGAAACTGCCAAAGAGAGCGAGAGAGAGGGAGAGAGAGAGAGAGAGAGTCTATCATTAGTACAGCTCTCAGAGACGGTCGGTCGGTCAGTGGCTGGAGGGGAGCTGTAGCTGTAGCTGTAGCTGTAGCGGCTGGGGCTGGGGCTGGGGCTGCAGGGGTTATACGAGTATTTTCACATTCCAGCAGGAAACGTGAAATCCGTGCGATGCAACGAGGTTAGCAGGTGGGCGTGGCTGGTTAGGCAGTGGAGAGCGGTGGAGAGTGATGGTGTCTGGTGGTTAGCACAGAGACGAGAACGGCACTAGGGAGGCGGGTTTCGAGGGGTTTTGTTTGTCGAGAGTCGATTAAAATGCTCAAGCAGCGTATTTTAATTGCTGGCTGCAGACAAATTGGTCTCTCAAGGTGTCATTTTAGAGTTTCGCGGAGCATGAGTATTCCAGAGAGAGAGCGGGGCGGGTGTGGGGGGCAATGGATACTGATTCGCGTTGCAAAGGACAACGACCTGCAATGTCTGCAGTTGGAGCAGCACCGGAAAGCACACATTGGCAAGCAGTTCACACGAGCATAGTTTGAGGGCCACTGTAGTGAGAAGCAGACGGTCCTTGTAAGCAGTCTGCAGCCACGTTTGACAGCCAGCCAGGGTTTAATAGAAGTTACATTGCGGTTTTGTGAGCAGCATTTAGCAGAACAGTTTTGCAATCAATGAAGCTGCATTAAGTTAAAGTTATTCATTTTTTGAGTCTTTGGGCGAAACTGCAGTTTCAGTAGAACGCTTTGCAAGCAGTTTACATGCACAAGTTTCAGAACAGCTACTGATTAATAAATGCAGTTGATAGCAGCTGCAGGCAGTTAACAGAAGTTTTGTAAAGAAAATAATTACAGTTTTAGTACCATTGGGGTATGTACTGTACACATACACTTTGACATTAAGTTTTACGATTACTGAAAAACAAACTACAGTTGTGGCAGCTTTGGGCAAGCAGTTTTCTTAAGTATTCACCTTCTCAAAGTTGTGACGGCAGCTTTGGGCAAGTAGTTTTTGTCTCAGTTGCAAGCAGTTTACTTCTACCCCACTGCTTGTGGATCCGAAGAAGAAGGTTCTACAGTTGCCAAGCCACTGGTTTAAGCATTTTTTATTGTTTTTCTTGGAGTTCGCTTTAACATTTTTTTGTGAAACATTTTGGATTTTCAGTGCAAAAACATTTCTTTATTTTTTGACGTGCATTTAGTACGAAAAAACGAACGAACAAAAAACAAAATAAAAACGGAACAAACAGCAACGAGTGAGCAAAGAGAGAGAGAGAGAGACAGAGAGACAGAGAAACAGTAGGGGAGAGGGGAAAACGACACGCTTTGGATTTGCATTTGGATTAGATGGATTAGTTGCGGGGGACTGGACTGGACTGGACTGGACTTGGACGAGCACCATGGAAGCGTCAAGTGGCAAGTGGCCAATCACTTCCGCCTGGCACTCAGCTGATCCGTGTACATGTCCAGCCAAATGGCCTTCATCAGATCGCCGCCATCACCTGTTTTCCTCTGCGCCAGCAGCGCCTCCTCGAACTTGCGATTGCAGTCGCCGTAGCAATAGATGATGTAACCATCCCGAGCTGCTTCCCACACACCACCACACACACACACACCGTGAGGGAATGGGAGTGGGAGTGGGAATGTGGGATGATTCCCACAGAATCAGATCAAATCAAATCAAATCAAATCAAATCAAATCAATGATTAGGAGGAGATGGCAGTGCTCTCTCTCTTAGAGCAGAGCAGAACGGAATCTGAATGTACTTACGCGGACGCGAGGGCGGCGCCGATGTCTGCTCCAGGATGCGCAGCTCGATCTCGATCGACTGGATCTCCGAGTAGCCGTGCTGCATCAGCTTCATGATCTTCTTGATGAAGCCCACATAGTCTGCAAAGAGCGAGAAACGCGATTAGAGAGCGACCAACCCCCCCCCCATCCAAAGCAAGAACCCCAGAACCGAACTGTACCTCGGGGAAAGTCCTGCGGACTGACGAGCTCCTTGAAAAAGTCCTGGGCAATGTGGGCCTGCTTCTCGTCGTTGGTGAGCCAGTCGCGGAACCAGAAGCGCAATGTGCGCGACTCCTGCGAGTGCTTGCCCGTGTTGGCGCTGACCAGGAACACGCGAAACTCCAGCGAGAGGGCGGCCGCCTTGCTGGCGCTCTTCTGCCCGGCCACCGTGTCCTTGTTGATGATGATGCCCGTGTGATCGCCACCGGCGACATGCACCCGATCGTTGATCTCATCCACCAGCTTCCGCTCGATCAGGATCACCGTGCTGCTGGCTGTCTTGCCTCGGGGCGTCATCACGACCTGCTCTGTCCGCGGCGGTGTCTGGCTCCTACGAGAGACGCTCTCGTTCTGGCCCTCGTTCTGTTCGCCTGTTGTGGCTGTGGCGCCGCCTCCAGCAACCTGCGGCGTTGCTGCGACACTTTTATTGCCGTGGATTTTGTTGCTGCTGCTGCCACTGCTGCCATAACTGTTGTTGCCATTCGCCAGTAGCCCCCCCCCGTTGGCATTTCCATTTCCAGTTCCAGTTCCATTGCCTCCATTCGATGTCTGCGATTTGTTTGGCTTGGGGGGCGGCGGCGGTGGCCCCATCTGTGTGTGAGCTCTTCGCTCTGACATATTTCTACGGCTACGGAGACGGCTACGGAGACGGAGACTCCGATTCCAAATTCCAAATTCCGAATTCGATTCCCTCGCTCTCTGTCGCTCCGCTCAGATCCTGCTGTCTTTATGGGCGGCTGGTATGTCCTTGAGCCCAAACAAAAACTTGATGTTGATTGCTGCCAAAAGAAAAGCAAAAGTTGACTGTCAGCAAAGGTACAACAATACACGGAAGGGGTGTACAGACAGCGTGCCTACAGTGGAGCGTGCCTAAGGTATACCACACACACACACACACACACATTCAGTGGGGTAGGGTAGGTGGGGGAATTTACATATATTCTATTCCTTTTGCTTTGCTTTGATTTGTTCTTACTTACTAGGCCTGCCTGCCAGGAGCTATTTGTGCAGAAACCAAGTCTGGGAGCTGCACGCGAATTAATTTCTCAGACGAGTACGGGGAATACGAGCACGAGGAATACGAGTCTTGGGATACACTCTAAATATATCGCATATACATGGGGAAATACTTCCATCTCTCATTGCAAACGAATAGCTGCAGCTCCCATAGTTCGCACATGGAAAGGAATAAAATCGTTGGAGATGCCTTTAGCTAGTGCCAATTTAAAAGCAGCCAAAAGTCCCCCTTAAAAGTGATTTATGCTGGCCAATAGATCCCCTCAATTGGCTGCCTATCCTGAGCTGCTCTTTTGACGCAGGAAAGTGGATAAGTTCACCCTTTTCAATGTTCATTCGTCGCCAGATAAACCTTGGAATTAACTACAGTAAATAATTTCTTGCTTGAGTTTCCCTTCTCAACTTTCTTTCGCTCCTGTGGACGCTTCACTGTGTGTTTGTGTGTGTGTGTGGGGGGGGGGGTATCGTATTTTTAGGACAGGTCTTTGCATTTCCATATACCCGTGGATCAAATGTTGCGCCTTCCTCTCGGGGGGGACGGGCTCTGACGTTGTCTCTTGTTTCGTGGGGCGTGGGGCGTGCGGCGTGGGGCCGCCTGTCTGCTGCTCTGGCAATGGGCCAAACAAATTTAGAATTCATAACTAATTGGTGTCATAAATACCCAGCACCCCCTCCCTCCCACAGACCAACCCCCGCACCAGCACCTGCACCTGCACCTGCCGGTTAGGTAAATGCGACCCAGTGACTCGCTTTCGGCCTACAAAAATACAAATAATCGTAGCACAAAAAAAAAACAAAAAACGAGACCAAAACAAACGAAGAAACGCAAGAAGGAAAATCAATAGGAAAAGCTTGGCAGCACAAGAGGCAGAGGCAGAGGCAGAGGCAGACTCGGAATTGGAATTGGAGTGCATGACAACCCCCCATCCCCCAGAGACCGAGGGCGTGGAAGGGTTGCTGCATGCCATGCCATGCCAGACGCCCCCCCCACCCCAGGTACACCTCCTGCCTATTCCCACTCCAAAGCCCAAAAGTTTTGCCCGCAATTAAAGCCAAAAGCGAACTTCCGTTCCGGCCAAATGTCACCCAAAGAGCGGCCGCAGAAAGAGTTTTTTGAACTCTCTCAACTGGGGAAAGCAGAAACAGAAACAGAGGCAAAGGCAAAGGCAAAGGCAGAGGCAGAGGCAGACCCACGCACCCATCCACTGGGGGGGGGGTGGCTTGTGTCCCGTTCCGTATATTTGCATAGCACACACACAGAGAGAGAGAGAGAGAGAGAGAGAAGGGGTGTGTGCGGCCCCAGGGGGGAAAAAAAGGCGAATGAACCGCGGTGGCAAGAGGCAGCAGAACAGAAGGAAAGGAAAGGGAAGGAAAGATGGGAAAATGCAACCAAGGAAATGAAATTTACATTTTTTAGCTTTTTCTCTCCCTTTGAGAATTCCACAACCACCGACGCACACCACACACACACACACATATCCTTGGTGTATGTGCCCTAAGGGTGGCTTAAAGGGTGCCCAGTGCCAGTGCCAGTGCCAATGCCAGTTCCAGTGCCATCCAAGTATTGCTTGAGTTTCGTATTATTTAAGAACACAAAAGCTGTTGAATAGCTGCGATCCATCTGCTGTCCAGTCTCTGCAGAGCTGAGTGCAGCAAAGGTCCATGGAATGGTCCAAGTGCAGGATCTGCCATGGCTGCCAATTCACGGCTTCTTTTGAATCCATTTGATTGTGTATAACTTTTAGAGAAGAGTTGGCAGAGAGCCATGACAGGAGGAGCACCTTACTTGAGGGGCATACAAAAGATTGTGGCAAAGTAGCAAGCGGTAAATAAAGTGCATTATTTTCTCTGTAAATCGAAGCGTATTTCCATGTTTGGGAAATGCCAAACAGCATCAGCAACACTTTCGTGTTCCCTTTCTTATGCGAGCATAAATTACTTTGAGATTATTTAAAGAACAAAGCTACGATACGAATGGGAATGGGAATTGTTGCAGTTCAGGGCAACCTCCTGCTTGGTCTGTCGGGGCTGAAAGGCAGTCTCTCTAGCTCTTACTCAAGTGCCCGCTTATGCCCGAAATTTAGGCAGTTTAATCATACCAAATTTAAGCTAGAGTTGAGCTAGCAGCCTGGAGTTATTCTCTACTAATTCTCATGTAAGCCAAGCCCAGTGCTTGTCAGACTTTCACTTGAAGACGCACTTAAAGACGAATATCAAACTGGCAGTGGCAGTGGCAGTGGCAGGAGTCGCAGTTAAAAAATGGCAGATACTCGTACTGGATTCGTGATTCTTGATTCTTAATTAGATTAAAGAGATTCTTCATTTCATTGCAGCAAACCCCCCCAATGCCCCCAAGCCACTTTAACCCCTGCTTTTCGTGTGTCAAGGGTGCAGCAGCCAGCAGCCAGCAGCAGCAGCAGCGGCACTCAAATTTCATGAGCCGGAAATTATTTGACGTCTGGTCTGCAATTTCAATTAAAACAAAGCAAAAAACAAGCAAAAGCAAAAAAGAAAAAAAGAAAAAAAAAAAGGTACAGTGCCTAGAGACACTCCCTTGGGGAGCGGTGGTCTGCCCCCTGCCCCTGCCCCTGCCACAGCCACAGCCACAGCTCTGCCTTCTGCTGTAGCCCCTTTTGAAAGTGCATTTTCTTCACTTCCGCTTTATAGTTGGCCGATCTTCTCGGGGGCGTCGTCTGCAATTGGGAAATTCCTATGGCAAGTGCCTGACGATGCGTAACTGCCGGGGTGCCGAGGGGGTAAGGCAAAGGGTTTGGCTTTCCAGCCGAGAAAACATTTTATGGTTGACAGAGCGCCAGTCACGTGTCTCACAAAACAAACAAAACACAAAATCAAATTTCATATTTACACCCCGAGGAAGGAGCAGGAAACTAGAGGCATAGAGTGGGTGGGGGGGTGGGGTGGGATATCAATATGGAAGAGGAAACAATATACATTGAGAGGAAGTGCAGTATAGCGAAGGGGGCAGGAGGCAGTGGATAAAGAAGAGAGACTTAGCCCACACGCAAAATGGCAACCAACTCTGCTGAAGTTATCTTCTTTTTATTTTTGTTTCTATTTGCAGAGAGAAACTCTGTTCTTCCACTTGAATTTATTGCATTGCGAGGTCTAAGAGATGAAGCAGAACCAAAGCCAAAAGAGCCAAAAGAGTAAGCGTCAAAAAGTGGGCGAACACAGAGGAGAACCCGCAGACGACCCACAGACAGACAGACAGACAGACAGACAGACGCCCATGCTTCAGGGGCATATACATACCTACATATGTACGAGTACGATATGTGGCAGCATGCGCACAGTTGTGACCACAAGAATAGTCTCCATGAAGGTTCGGATATTTGCTGCAGTTGCCACAAGAGTTCAAGAGATTTTAAACCAATAGAAAAATATTTTAGATTTAATTTTAGTGGCAAATTGGTAAAGAAAATCAAAGAAATCCTTTGCTCATATAGAAGGCTATAAAATAATAGTATTTGCATGAATGGTAGCCAGATCAAAAATATACATAAATGAAAATTTCGTATCCATGAATTATATTTCTCACAGCCATTCACTTGCCACGCTGCCCCAAAGAGCCCTGGAGAAAACTTTGCTCACCATCAAAAGGGGAAAATATAGCAGAAAATCTCTAAGTGAAGATTGATTTGATAATGAAGAAGTTTGAGCTGAATTTAAGCGATAATTTTTAGTTGGAGATCTCTACCAGAGAAGGCCTACCAGGTCTACCCCAGTGGGTGCATATCGAGAGCAGTCTACAGAGCATCAGAGATGCTACCCGAGTGCTAGCCCATGTCTGAAACGACACACAGGATATTCCATGTCAGGGCATTACAACACTCCCATAAGTGAGCAAAGCCCCAGGGATCCAAGGTTTAGATCACAGATATACAGTACCAAAAACAATTGAATTGCAGGGACAAAGTACAGCTAAAAAAAAACGCATAGCAACTATAATTATGACCGCAATTGTAGCTACGGATGCATACTTATTGCATGTACTGTAGATAACCAATACATGCGGTTTCCTGTTGCGCGTGTGGGAAGTGAGGCTGAGGCTGAGGCTGAGGCGAATGGTGGAAACATGTGTGGCAAGCAAAACGATCGTTCAACTAAGAGATCTCTCTTCAGTGTTGGATAACAACAGTAAAAATTTACTTTCTCCCATGCAAATGGGGAATGGCGAATGGAAAAAGAAAGATCTTTCAGCGGGAAAAATATGCCCAAGATATTTTCAGTGTTGCGTATCCAGCAAATGGCACGCTATGCAACACTGTTTGGTGACGCTAACAGCGGAAACAACGGAAACAACGGAAACACGTTCGCATTCACATTTTATACTCGTTATTCATGGATGGAAATGGGGTAAATGGGGTAAATGGGGTAAATGAGTGTGCAAACTCTACATAATCTGGCATGGTTTATCTACAAAAGTAACAACAGCTAATTACCGCATAATTTGAGTTAATTTTTGTGTACCCCTTTGGAGCGTACAAACGTACGGCTGTAATTAGCCCCCAAGAGGGCGGGGGTCCGTAGGTGAGTCGCAACGGAACGTGACTCAAAGCTGAAGCAAAACTATTGAACCGATATGCGAGCTTACGTCAAATGTACACACAGACATCGGATGGACAAAGTAATTCTCTGACTCACAAATAAGGCAAAAGGCAAAGGGCGAAAGGGCGAGAGGCGACTTGCCTTCGTGATTCGATTGCAAGTTTCATTAATTAGCAATCAACTCTGAAAGAGA